CTCAAGGGAGCGATTCGACAATTGTCCTGCTCGGAAGGATTGCATGGATTCTATTCCAGATGTTTTACGGTCCCGAAAAGGGACGGTGGTCTTCGTCTGATCCTGGACTTACGAACTCTTAATAACCAAGGAAGTTCCGGATTACCACTTTGCAAAATATCCTTCCGTTATTGAAAAGAGAGGATTGGTTCGCCTCACTGGATTTAAAGGATGCTTATTTTCATATTTCCATCCATCCTTCACACAGACGCTTTCTACATTTTACTGTCGGATCCGACCTGTTCGAGTTTAACGTCCTACCTTTTGGCTTGGCCACAGCCCCTCGAGTCTTTACGAAGTGTATGGCGCCGGTATGCACACACTTGAGGACATGGGGAATACAGATATACCCATACTTAGATGACTGGCTAATCGTCTCGCAATCCAAGCAAGCTCTCCTGTCTGATATACAAATGACCTGCGCTCGACTCGGTGCTTTCGGTCTCTGCATTAACTGCGACAAATCGTCCCTTATTCCCACGCAGGTCATCGATTTCATCGGGGCACGACTCGATTCGACGCAGGAAAAAGCCTTCCTCCCACCGGAACGTCAGAATGCCTTATGCAGCCATATTCATCGGATTCGGCTACACGGAACGGTTCCAGCCTTGTCTGTTCAGAGACTACTGGGGCATATGGCTGCTGCTATTGCCATTGTCCCGTATGCCAGGCTGCGTATGCGACCCATTCAACTGTTCTTCAATGCTGCCTTTCAACCGCAACAAGATCCTGCCACTAAGCAGATTCGGATCCCGCCTGCAGTCCTCCACACTTTAACATGGTGGACCATCACAGACAACCTGTTGATCGGCACCCCGTTTCGACCACCTCGGCCAACAATGACTCTGTACACCAACGCATCCCTCCTGGGATGGGGTGCAGCATGTTCGGGACTTCGGGTCCAAAGTACTTGGAACCGACGAGAGGCGAGGAAACACATCAACTTCCTGGAACTTCTGGCGATTTTGAACGCCCTCAAGGCTTTTGAGACTGTGTTATGCCGTCAGATTGTCCAAATTGCATCAGACAATATAGCGGCAGTTTCTACATAAACAAGCAGGGGGGCACAAAATCCCCAGCCTTAGCACGCCTATCGATGGACAATTGGGACTGGTGCATACCGAGGAACATTGTGCTTATGGCAGTTCATCTGGCTGGAACCGACAACGTTGAAGCAGATACATTAAGCAGACAGATGTCAGCAGTCCACAAATGGGAGTTGGACAAACAAATTTGCTAGAAACTCTTCCACTTGTGGGGTTATCCGGACGTGGACCTGTTCACCACTCGAGAGATCAGCCTGTGTACCCTATACTGTTCCAGAGCGGGTGTCGGGCCGGGATCGATGGGGGACGCTCTTATGGTCCCTTGGAGCAACATGACTTTTTATGCGTTTCCCCTGATCCCACTCCTGACAAGAGTGGTTGCGAAAATAGCCCAGGACAGGGCCACGGGGCTACTAGTGACTCCGTGGTGGCCGAGACAACCATGGTTTGCCACTGTCCAGAAGAATGTTCCTTCATCTACCAACTCTTCTGCATGTGTTAACACAAGGAGGAGCAATCCGTCATCCGGATATACTCTCTCTGAAGCTGACGGCATGGTGGATCACCTGATTCATGCCAGTGAGTCGGTACCGGGGACACCTCACCCTACGGGTGACCTTACTCAACAGACGGTATATGCGGCCCCGACTTCGGATTCGACAGCAACTGCCACGGTACCGATGCCTACGGACAGAGAAATTCAGGCAATTCTCAAATCTGCATTGAGACCGTCCACTCGTCATTCCTATACGGCTAAATGGAGAAGATTCTCCTCTTTTGCAGAGTGCCATTTCTTTTCCCCTGGAACGGCTTCAGTCACCAATATTTTACAATTTCTCTTGCATTTGCATCATGAGGGACTTAAACTATCATCCATCAAAGTTTATGCAGCCGCTATATCCCATTATCGTGGCACTATCCACGGATTATTAGTCTTCTCTCAACCACTGGTTTGGCGTTTCATTAAGGGACTACAAAATTTACATCCGTCTATTCGCCCTGCCATGCCAACGTGGAGTCTTTCCGTAGTGCTCCAAGTGCTTACCAAACCACCGTTCGAGCCTTTAGCAACTGTGGACTTATGCCTGGTGTCATGGAAAACTGCCTTTCTCGTAGCAGCTACATCAGCACGGAGGGCTAGTGAAATTTGTGCTCTCCGCATAGACCCACCATGTCTGAACTTCCATAAGGAAAAAGTCGTGCTTTGGATGGATTTCTCCTTTTTACCCAAGGTGGCCACACCGTTCCACCTGAATCAGGACATCGTTCTGCCGGCATTCTTTCCATCGCCGTTGACCCCGGTAAGAACGTGCTCTACAGACGCTTGATGTTCACCGTTGCTTGCCTTTTACAGATCCCGCACGGAATCTTTTCGTACTACTAATAGACTTTTTGTTAAATACTCCGAGCATGAAAAGGCATCACCGATATCATCTCAGAGACTCTCTAATTGGATCGTCCAGACTATTGTCCTGGCTTATCAGCTATCGAAAATAGACTTATCTGTCTTTCCAAGTGGCCACTCTACACGAGCAGTAGCGACCTCGTCCGCTTTTGCCGCAGGGGTTTCGGTGCAAGACGTCTGCAGAGCTGCGATCTGGGTGGTCCATGTACTTTCGCCAAGCACTATCGGCTTGATGTACGTGCCAGACAAGACTGCTCTTTCGGTAGAGCTGTTCTCTCATCCGTTCTTTGCTGACGACACCTCCCTCCTCCGACTGTGGTAAGCTTGCGAATCACCCATATGTGTGATGCACAGAGGCCACGACGAAGAAAAGCAGGTTGCTTACCTGTAACTGATGTTCTTTGAGTGGCCATCTGTGCATTCACACAACCCACCCGCCGGCCCCACTCGGTGTCGGTGAGTGGATCTCGTTTTTCTCGGTACCGTACTATAAATTGCATCAGTACCGTTGGGTTATATCGCTGACTAGATACTGTTCTTGGTACCATACTATAATTCACATCGGTACCGTTCGGATATAATTGTGTTTTCTCATTACTTTTATTCTTAACCTCTAGAGGGCGAACGTGCGGTCTTCAAGACTGAGTAAAATGGCGGACACTTCGCTCTATTTATACCACGAAGGGGGAGGGGAGCGGAGTTTTCCCGCCAAAAACCGTTAGCTTTCTAATCTTCCGGCCTAGGCCCTGCGCAGGCGCAGCAACCCATCTGTGCGAATGCACAGATGGCCACTCGAAGAACATCAGTTACAGGTAAACAACCTGCTTTTCTGGAAGCAACTTGAAATGAACTGCAGCTTGTCTGTCTTTCATGAGCGTAGCTCAGTGGAATTGTCCTAGGGAAGTGCTGCCAACCTGGTCCAAGACAAAAATGTGTTTATGCTCATCTAGGGGCTTCCTGAAGGAGACAGCAGTCGCAGTTGCACGAGACGGCGTGTGTGGGTTGTGCAGTGGCGTCGGCACGCTTGCTGAATGGCTCCATTTGACTGCCCAACATCTCTCTTTAAACTGCACTCCAGCCATATTCCTCCTTCGATTCAAGCCTCCCTTTCCCTTGTTTTCATTGTTCCCATTCGTTGCCTACCTTTGTTCTGAATATCTTGGGTCGTCTTGACTTTTGGCAACATTGAGAGTCTTACTCTGTCTTGAGTGGGAACCTGTATGACTGAATGCCCCTTCTGTATTAAAGCAACATCCCAAAATTAGTGAAAAGGGCATTGCTTGGTCTTCTCTTCCAAATCCTAGATTTCCACATGTTAGGGATGGGGATATTTATTTATTTATTTATTTATTTATTTATGTTGTATGGGGGGACATTTAAATATGTTCACATTTTAACTTGAGTTAGCTATTTAATATATAGGATAAATAAAGTGAAGTGAAGTTCCACCTGCTGTTTGAAGTGATGGAACATAATTCTCTGCAGGGTTCAGGAATCTCCACTAGGAACAAAGGTAACTAGGGGAGTTTAGTTGGGTGCTGGGAGAACCTTTTTCCTCCATGGCCCTAGGCTGTGTCCTGCCAGAAGACAGACTGGTGTCAGTCTGATAGAACTGGCATGGTCTGTCAAAATAACTGGAAGTACTTTGTGGGTAGCTTAATCTAGCTGGTGGCACTTCTCTGTAAGGTCCCAGTAAAAGGAAATGAAGCTGAGATTTTGCTCCTTAGCTGAGGAGGTGCTTTTATTAAAGGACAAGAAATCAATGTAAAGTTCCTGCAGGTTATCTCTTATGAAGGAGGAGAGAGGGAGGGAGGAATTGCCAATGAGGCTTGCACCTAGTTTAGAGAGGAAAAGGTGGGGCTTTCCATATTTTGTTGAGAAAACTAGTGAATCCTTAGAGTACGATTCAAAAGGTTCTTAGGAAAAGTAGGGTGCTACCCGAAAGGGGTTTTCCAGTAGGTTGAGGTGCTAGTGCCATTTTTGCAAAGTCCAGTAGACACTCAGCTTTTGGTATTTATTGCTGGCGAGTGGCGGAGTGTTGGCCTGCTTGTCCTAGGAGATAGACATCTGTACTTCCAAGAGTACTTGGGACCTGCATTTCCATTTCTGTGGAAGGCAAGTTCCAAGAGTCCAGCAGTCATAGCCTTGGTTGCCAGCCCTTGCCAGGTTACCAGCAGTAAGAGACCAAGATGGAAGCTGAGAGACAAAATGGAAATTCTCTGTTGTAACATGGGACTCAGATCTAACTGCTTGGTGAAGGCAAAGTTTTGAGCAGAAAAATAAGTCCTGGGCATGTCACATGTTTCTTTGTCCCTTCTGGATCAGTAGGATCGGCACCCAATCCTATCTGCTGGTGTTGACATCACATCATCTTTTGGGATACTCTCCTTTTGTATAATGAGCCATATAGGTAAACACTTTAGTTCTGCCACGTCAGTTATTAATAATAGCTATTCGTCCAAAAGGTTTTGAATTGCCTCTTTCACTGATGCACCTGTTTTCTTTCCAAGGTTGGCCGATTTGAGATTAACCTCATCAGTCCGGACACAAAATCGGTGGTCTTTGAGAAGAACTTTAAAGATATCTCCTCGTGTTCTCAGGTAGGTATGCTTTCTGGAGAGAAGATACTCGTAAGATGCTCAGTCAGTTTCTTCAAACAAAAGTAGATCTGAAAAACCGAACAAAAAAACAGAATTGGTGGGAGAAAAAAACTCTTAATTTGTGCTTAGTTGTTGTTTCCTTCTTTAACTGTGGGAGTCAGCATATTCTGCAAAATAATCGCCCTGCAAAGTAGAATTTGGGAGAATTGTTCTGTTTCTAGAGATATATATATTGAGTTGCACATGCTTTGCTGATGAATTCTCAGTTCCTGCCCTTCCCTAGAATGTAAAGGAGACTCTTAATTGTTTTTATTGACATTTTTAATTAAAATTTTGAATTTTGAACAGTGAATATTTCTGATACAACAGTTTGCCTCCTTAGTGAAAGGGATAGTTCATAATTAAGGTAATCACAGGGGAAAGCAAACTGTTCTCAGAAGTACCTGTCAAAGAGAAAGAATGAAACGAAGTATTGGGGCATTTCCTGAGCTTTCTTCTCAGATTCAGATCTAGTTGCAGGCAATTAGTCAGGCATAATGAACGGTCATGCAGGAGTACATCCTAGCCTTGCCGAGTAGAGAGCCAGAGCCTTGGGATATGGATAGAAATGCACTCGGGTGGCGTGTGCATTGTCTGGGTGCACGGAAGGCAGCGTCTCCATGCAGACCTGTCTTGCTGAATTGAGGCAACTATTTTTCCTTGAAAGTCGTGGACAATAACTCCGTTGCATAATCCTGTTTTGAAGCAAGTGCACTCTGTTTAACCTTTTTAATGACCAGTTTTAGAGCTCCTCAAGGATGCACCATGCCTATCCTGTCCTTTTCTAATTTCCCTGGACTAAAATTTCAGAGCCACGTCAATCCCCTTTGAGATGGCTGAAGTGAGCTGGATTGGTTTGGTTTTAAGCAGGAAGCTTCACGTGTGGAAGTTGCCAAAGTGGGCTATTGATGTAAACATCATCCACAGAACCCTGTCCGTTAAATGCAGCCATATGAGTACTGTGACGAACAATTAACAACAGTTACTTCTTGTTCTTGGGGTGCTGAAACAGCTTTGGAGAACTGGGATGAAGGAGAAGAGAACCTAACTGGCAGGTACACTGGCCTTAGATTCTGTTCTTCCTCCCCATATAGATCATCTCTTATATAATGAGATTAAAATAGAAGATGTGGCTGTTTCACTTCCACTGTCTCTTTTAGTAGGAAGCAGCTCCGTGAGTTTCTTTACTTGCTTTGTGCTGGTGAAGCGAAGAGAAGCTTCTGCTTCTTTAGGCAGATGGCGAACTGCTGTTCCATTAGGCAATGGCAGATGAACTTCTACATGTGTTCAGCAAATGCAAAAGTTGTCTTTAAAGTGCAGTCCTATGCCTGTCCATCCACATAGAAGCAAGTCCCATTGAGTTCAATGGGGCTTACTCTTGGGTAACTGCATACAGGAGTGACTTTGCTTTTTTAATGTAGTTCAGCCTTTTTGAACCTGGGGATTGGCCCCGATAATAAATAGCAAAGCATGGAATCAGAGAAATGTCCCTGACTATCCAAAATGGGGGCAAATTGCATTTTGCTGAAAAGCCTGGGCTTTTTAGTGTAGCGTGTGTGTGTTTTGGAGAGATAACGACTTATTGACTTGGGTGAGGTACATTATTTATTTTTTTCAATTAATCTGGGAAAAAAAACCTTTCCAGTTAGTTTATGTCTGTATTTATCTGCTTCCATTAAAGAAGCTGCAAGCCTGATGCTATCAGGAAGACTGGAAAATAATATACAGACAAAAGCTCAGTTACTCTTGATTTATAAAATGCTGAGTTCTAATGGTGTCTGCTTGCTGGACCTCAGCCTCATTTTGAAAGCATGTTAAGTTTTTCCTTTTCTCTAGGGCATAAAACACATTGATCATTTTGGGTTTATTTGTCGGGAACCTACGGAGCCCGGAATAAATCAGTACATTTGCTATGTATTCCAGTGTGCAAGTGAATCTCTGGTAAGTCGCAATTCTTTCTGATATTATTCAGTTTCAGTGTTCAGTATTACTCACTTCCATCAGAAGGTTTGGAAATCTCCAAAATGTGATGTGATTTTTCCCTTCTTTGTGTAAAGAAGCCAACACCATGCCCCATGCTTCCCCTGACTCTTAGTGTTCATGTGAGCTAGTTCATGCATTACCGAGTAGCAGGAAAAGAAGCACCATGCATTATTAGTCAGAGAATCATGGAAGTAAAGGAGGCCGTGGAGGCTGTCTAGTCAAACCCGCTGCTCAGAACAGGATACCCAGAGCTAGATCTTCCTCAAGCTGCCTGTCTAGCTTCTGCTTTAAGATCTACAGCAAGGTAGAGCCCACAATTCCCCATCTAATTAATTGCTTCCATTGTCAAGTCCTGTGATCTGGCAAGACCTTGCTCCTAATGTTCAATCAAAACCTGCCTTCCAGTAACTTAAGCCCATTAGATCAGGCCTTTCCTCCAGGATAGCAGAAGACAAGGCTTTGTTCTCTTCTGTGTGTCAAGGTGTCAAGTATCCCGTTGCTGCATCAGACGTCTCTTCTCCAGGCTAAGCACTATACGGTTCCTTCCGTCTTTGCTTATCGGGCTTGTTTTCGGGCTGACCATCCTGGTTGCCCTCCTCTGTACATTTTCCAATCTAGTTTGTGAACTGACTAGTGCAGAATAAAACAGGATTATTACTTCCAGTGACTTAGAAACCATCGTTCTAATAACAAAGCCTAAAATCAGAATCGCCTTTTTTGCAGCTGCATCACACACCTTGACTCACAATCATCTATAATCGCAAGGTCCATTAGATGCATAATACTGCCAAGCCTGTGCTGTCTTCTGTGATTCTAATACAGTCACTACAGATCAATACGTGCTGGGATATATTTGGTGCACATGGCTGCATCCACTGCTTCATGCTTGTTGGTACAAGGAGGTCAAATGCAGCCCAGATCTCCCTTCTGGCCTTCTAGAAGTTCATGAGTAGTGCCAACCTCTTGAGGAAGTGGGGAAAGACTCAGTGTGGTCCAAGAGCTTGTGATGTAGCCCATTCTACGGTCGATAGATGTAGGAGAACACATTGACAGAAAGAAGCCAACCCACTGGCAGACAGTGGCGTCTCATCCCAGACTCCTGACTGCCTGGGCAAAGGGAGGGATGGGCTTTTGGGAGAATAATATCTAGGCTATTCCATAGCTTCAAGGGAGATACTTGGCTTTTATGGCATCCGATTCATAAAGTATGTATGTCTGTCTGTCTGTCTGAGTGTAAGAGTGTCACCATTTTTAAATTAGCTATCACTTTGGGTTGTGTTCTTCTGTTGTATTTGGAGGGGTTAATGAAGATGAGCTGGGTATGATGTTGGAAGTCCAAATTTCCTTAGTTCATGCATATATGATGGCCTTTAGATCTTCTATACTGTTAGGACAAATGTTTATCTTTAGATTTCAGGTGGTGAGAAGCAAACCACAAACATTCAATCCACACAGTTGACACCCAAATATTTTGGCAGAGGTATTCCAATGTGGCTCTTACGATGTGGAAGGTTTTCGTTGAAGAGAAAGATACAATTCTATACATTTTAAAAATCATACAAGTCCCAGCATTCTGCCTAAATGTATAACGATGATTAAAAAAAAAGAAATTGCACAGCCTCAAATTGCATTTTTAGCAAAGTTAAGTATCAGTTCAGAGATGGGGATCTTTCCCCCCCTTCCTTGCAATTATCGTTCATTAAAAAACAACTAAAAGTGTATCCAAATGTTAAAAGAAGTTCAAAGCATCTTAGAAGCTACTGTAAAAAACTAGTTCTGTTCCAGTGTTTTCTAGACTCAAGGTCTGGTTTGCTTAAATGGCACAATCTCTTCCTTTAGAAATATATGAAAGCAAAGACATACTGAAAAGCTTTTATCTGAGGCATGAAAATGGATTTGAATCTCTATACGAGTTGAAGGGAAGCCTTGTAACCTCTGACCTTTTTTCCCATAGAGAATGTAAAGTTTGGCCCCCTCAAATGTGGGAGACTGTGGGAATCTTCGTGCCTGTTTGTGGTTGTGTCGGGCAAGGCCCAGACTGGCGTCTGGAAACAAAGGCTGATGAGTTCTTCAGCTGCTTACTAATAGGGCTGCGAGCTCGTCTTCTGTTCCATATAATTCCAGTACGTAAAGGAACAGCACCCTAAACTCTCTTCTATCTTGGAATGGCGTACAATAAAAGTCAGGCACCTCAGTAAACCTGCCTTGTGATTCTTGGTCACGCAGTAGAACTGATCTTTTTTTTTTTAATCAAAAAGTTCATTGTAATGAAATCAATGTGGATTAGAGCGTCACGCTGTGACACTGAATAGCGTTATGGTACAGATAAGGAGCGGAGGACACATGGCAGTGCTTCGCCCCATTGGAATGAATGGGAACCCACTTTCTCTGCCGCTCCCACTCATTTAAATGGGGCTTCTGCAGGGCAATCCCGTAATGTGGTGCCAGATCAGACGTGGTGGTTTGTGGGATCGGACTGAATGGAGAGCACAGTTTCTTGGCATCCACACATGCGCGCACTTGCACCTGCAGGCACGCAGGCTTCACGTTTCTCCCTTTTCATGTCCTCTTTGCAGGTTGACGAGGTCATGCTCACTCTGAAGCAGGCGTTTAGCACCGCTGCAGCGCTCCAGAACGCCAAGACGCAAATTAAGCTGTGTGAGGCCTGCCCAATGCACTCATTACACAAACTCTGCGAAAGGATCGAAGGTAGCTCTGAGCCTTGTTTGCTTGCTTTTACACCTGGAGCTCTGTTTTGTTTTTGTTTTAATAAAACTCCTTGGGGCAGGAAATTCCACAAATTAGTCCTACACTGTGAAGGAGTACTCTGTTTTGTCCTGCTGCCTATGAATTTCATTAAGTAGCTTCTTGTTGTGATATTTCAGAACCAGACAGAGATAAAATTGCTCTCCTTGAGTGCTCCTAATAGCTGATGCATGTGGAGAAACCTATTTCTAACCCTCCATCCTTAAGCATCTTAAAAAAGCCAGTTCTATTTTGGCCATGGTTTGCTTTTCTCAGTGGGGTGGCCAGCACACTGCCCAAGATGCTCGCAGTTCATCCGCTTCTCCGTAGCATTGCATTTATCTTAAGATCTTTGGCCGAGGGTTCACTTTGTGCCCCTTGTATCTGCATGACTAGACTCAAAGGCATGTCAGTCAGCGCCTCTCCTTGGTGCTCTTTGCTCCGTGGTGATCCTTTCCTATGCCTGAGTCCACACCTGTAGGTTCTTTTCTTTTAGGTGGCCAGTGCAGGTGCGATTTCTCACGGGTTAGATTTTGGACCCTGAACTACATTGGTATACTTATCATTACTCACGCATGCGGCACTGGGAGAAGTGTTTGAGACATTCTAGGCCGAAATCTCTCTTAGAAGTATGGTAGATAAATTTCAAATAAGCAGTGGAGAAATTTGAAAAAAAGAATCAGAGTGGCCAGCCAGCCAGCAGGAGTCATTTGCCACTATTACTGATATTTTTATTCCACTTATATTCCACATTAATTAGTCCACAGGACTCTCTAAGCAGATTACAAAGAAGCAACAAAAACAGCATTATGCAATAAGAAACATAAAACATAATAACATTATGCAATAAGAAACATAAAACATAACAATGTACAATAACAGTGTAAAATAAAATATACAATATGCAGCTGAGGGATCAGTATTCAATAGATTAAAATAGTATGTTAGCACTAAGGAACAATATAAAACTATATGCCTTAAAGTTGAACAGTATGGAATCAATTGTTAAAATGTCTGGAGAAGAGTGTTGTTTTTGGCTGGCTCTGGCAAGAGGTGAACTGCTCTCAGCCATTCCATAGATTGAGGGGGGGGGCAACCCCTGGGAAAGCCCCTCTTCTGTTGGTCATCCTCCTTACCTCCTTGGAGGATGGCTTTCCCAGAAGGTGCTCTTTGCCCGATCTGAGGGCTCAGGTAGGTACCTATCAGAGCAGGTGGTACTGCTCCCATAGGTACCTACAATGATATGATGGCAATGCCATCTATAGGGTGGCCCCTCCATCTCCCCCTACAAATCTTCAGCAAGAGAAGCTGCTTAGAATTGTTTTGGAGCCGCATCTCAGTGGCCGCACTGAAATGCTTTTCTGCCCAGTCAAGCTAATAATTCTACTGCTACGCTAGCTCACGTCAGTGTCAGAGCTGGGCTCCGTCTCATTTACTTCTCCTGCAGGAATAAATGTTTATCACCATGGCTGGTATTGGTTGCTAGCTCCCTCTGGTGTGCAAAGGAGCAAAGTATTTTCAGCCTCTGCACAAATGCAGAGGTTAAGCTGAAGTTTTCTCCAAGCAACCTCCCTTGTGTATCTGTTATTTCCCTTGTATTGGGATCCATCCAATACATTACGGAAGAACACTTTTACTGCAGTATAGTACAGTATAGAAGGACATGTTTACTGCCAAATGCATTCCTTCTTCAGAAATCCAAAAGCCTAACTATTAAATAGGTGAGGACTCTTTGACTTCTCAGCGCATTCACTCCCAAAGGTGTCAAGGGGTTCATTATTATATAAATTAAGATGCTTGGGCTTTTTAGCACATTCAGTTGCAAAAACAAACTGCTAGTCAAAATAAGCTGACCATCATGAGGTCCCAGAGTCTGAAAAGGGGGTGCTTTGAAGAGAATTCAGTGGGGTTCTCACTCCTCCTGTTGCACAACCTCAGTGGTGATTTAGTATTTTGGGCACCCTGAAGTAAGCAGAAATTTTCATTTCTGGAAGAAGGGAGTTCAGTGGCGGCGTCGCAAGTTGCTCTGCCAAGGTGCCTCCTTCCAGAAACAGGCATTTCCACTCATTTAGAGGCCAACCCCACATCATGCCAGGTCTCCCTTTCATAAATGGGTTGTCCCACTTCCACAGGACAATCAACAGGCTGGAAATAATTGGTGGGGCGAAAGCACCCGGTTGGAATTGCCCACTGTAAGCATCTCCTTCAAGACAGATATGAGGTATCCTCCAGAATGCTTAATTTGGATACATGCCATCCACCCTTTCAGCAAGCAAGCAAATGAAAATGAATTTGTATTTATGCTTGGGGTGGTCTTCCATAATATGTGCAAATTTCTTCATATTTTACCTCCTGACTGAATTGGAGATAACCTTTAATGGGTAGATTTTCAATTTATGCAGAAAGATGGGGTTTTTAAAAGTTATGCACTAGAAACTTTGGAACAAATGTTTTTGTTTGTTTTTACATGAAATCTGGGTGGCTTGATGGTCTATCATAAGTTTCTGCTGTAAGTTTCCTATTCACTGTGAAACTCAAGTTATATATGGGGTATTTTAAAGTTTTATACTAGGAAAATGGTGGATAGTTTGTCAAGTGTAACTAAATATCAGCACCTGTCCCTCCTTTCCCAAGGCCTTTATCCACCAAGAGCTAAACTTGTGATTCAGAGACATTTGTCATCCCTCAGTGACAATGAACAAGCGGACATCTTTGAGCGTGTTCAGGTAATATCTGCTCCCACCAGCCTTTTGCCTCTGAAATAAGGTTGTGGGAATTGTGGGCATCAAGGGCACCAAGAATTGCGGGCATTTGCGCCTTCTCTTTCTCCCCACCTCCCCAACCCAAAACTGAAGCACCATGTTATTGTAATTCGTTATTTATAACAGTTTATTTGATATTTTATTAATGTGTGCTGATTGTATTCTTTGCATGCTGTAAGCTGCCTCGGGCAGACTGGCTTTGAAAAGGAAACTTTATTATATAGCCATTCCCAAATGCACAGCGCCATTGTTAAATTGTGGGGGGGGGGAATGCATTTTCTAAGGCCACCAAGGAGTGAATGGCCTGTCGCTATGTAAAAATCCAAGACGAGACATATTACAGGCGTCATACTCTCCAAAATACCTTGCTGATTTCCTGCTTTACAGAAAATGAAACCTGTGAGTGACCAGGAAGAAAATGAACTTGTGATCTTACATCTGCGACAATTGTGTGAAGCTAAACAGAAGACACACATGCATATTGGAGATGCTCCAATGGTAAAACTTCTGTCCTGTGTGTTGTGTAGCAATGCAGGAAGACTTCCCAGGAGAATGTGTGCAGAACTTCAGATGAGCATTTTGCTCCTTGCTTAATATTTAATACAGCAATTCTAAGTGTACTTAGCTGGATGTAAGTTGCGCTGAAATAGGGCATTTGATGATCGGGCCAGCGGAACAGTTTTTCTAGACAGTTGTTACCCTTCTGCAAGCAAAATAATATTTGCTGACAAAATAGTAAAGCTAGCATTCGCTATGTACTATGGATTCGAGAAAAGATCCTCTTGGATTGAAGTTGGTAGATGCTTGGCCAACTGAGAAATCTCACAGGAAATAGAAGCCTGTTTTTACTTGCTTAATAACCTGCCATTTGATCGAAGTCATCATGGCATGTGTTCAGTTAAAAATACGAATGGTAAGAAAAATAGTGTGGTAACACGATCTAAAAGGCCAAGTCTCAGCTGATCTGGAGGCCCTCACAGTGGCAAATGGAAGTGCATTTACCTCTGGAATTAGGTGAAAAGGGGGCCAACTGAGTGTCCCACGGGAGGCATTTCATAATGACGGAGTAACTGCTGAGGGTATGGATATGCCGCTCTCTGCCCTCTGAATCATTCCCTTAACAGGTCTGACACCTGGCACCTGCACACCTGCAGCCTAAGTGGTTAAAACATCTATTCAGTGCAATGCTGAAGTAGCATCACAAATGCAAAAAAAAAAAAAAAATAAAAATAAAAAATCATCCAGCCCTGGTTCTGCAGACAAAAGTGGATAAAATTCAGAAGATAGCTTTAGTGTTACTTAATAGCAGTGAATTTATGGGCATAGAATCCAAGAGGAGGACCAAAACATCCTTTAACTTGTTTTTCTCTATTTGGTTAAATTAATTGAATTCTGCATTCCTTCTATAAAAATATTGATGTTTTCAACTAGAATTTGTGTAAGTGCATCATAATAATTTTATGTCATTATTTAGACAGTAGGCAGTTATTATTTCAAATGAGAGCTGAGGTTAACGGAATAGTCTGCCGCTACAGGCCATCTCGTCAGTTGTAGGGTAATTTAATTAAAGGATTTCTTATCACAACCCTGTCTCTGAGAGCCAAACTAGATATGACGTTGTGCATTAATGAATGTGTCTTGATACACATAATTGCATATTTTGAGTAGAGGATAGCTAGCCTGGGAAAATAATGTGGAACCCTATTTACTACTACTTAAAAACAAACAAATGCAACCCACACAAAGGGCAGTGTGAGTACACACCTTTCCTACTTGTTTAGATGAGTGTGGTTCACTTGGCAATATTTTTGGATGCCAAAACCATTGGTCATACTGATATCAAAAGGCGTCTTTCTTCCAGCAGAATGCTTCCAACAACACCATTCCGGAAAATTCAGCCAGCAGTGGAAGGTTCAAGCTTGACATTCTGAAAAACAAGGCCAAGAAATCCTTAACCAGCTCTCTAGAAAACATCTTCGCTAGGGTAAGATTGGTTGCTCAGTAACGACAGATCTTTGGGATGTAGTGCCATGATGATAAGTATTTGAGATAAAGAAATTCTTTAAGATAAAGAATTTGAGATCTTTCGTTAGCTTCTTCAGTGGCAAATCAGCCAGGAGTCGGTGCCTATTCTGTCAACAGCCTTTTTTGCATCAATCTCAGGAGAACTAATCTTGAATCCCAGCTGATGATTTATTAATGAGCTTATTTGTTTGTTTGTTTGTTTTTATTTAAGCACTTGAATTGTCTTAACTTCATGACAAATGTAGCAAGTTTGGAGAGTGGTGTAGCAACACACATTATTACTTTAAAATTTTTGGTCATATTTTAGCATTAGTAGTTTCACCCATTAATCACCCTGTGATGTAAGTTATATGCGACACTTTTGCTTAACCCAGGACAATGCCTTCTGAAATTCTGTTGCTTCTGATTAGGTATGTGAATTCAGTTTAGTAATGGAATTGATGTCATTGTGAGCTTAAGTGCAAAGAAGAGGAGGAAGAGATGATCTTGAAGTTTTGCATCTGTATTCTGTTTGCTACCTTAAGCAACTTGGGAAAATGAGTTACTTCTCCCTTACTATAGAGACTAAATAGCAGTTGGCAAGCTGGCCTAAAGGAAGCTGAGGATGGATTTTGATTTTCAAAACTGTGTCAGGTTTGACTAATGGTGGGTGTCATTCCCTGATGCCAAACACACTCTTATCATTCCATTGCATTTTATTTAATTAAACAAGGCTAGCCAGAAATAATTCAAGGGCTCCATAGTAATGTGTGTCAATATCCATATAGCTTCCTTGCAATCACACAGCTCAAATGCTCCTCGGCATTGGAAGGGGAGAAGGGAGGGGCAGACAACAAAATTGGTTTTCAGTTGACTGAAGAGATATAACCTATAATCCCACCCCCCCGAGAACTCAGAAATGTAGCATCTGCCTTTTGTCTGGGAAGCCTGCCAGAGCCAGTTCCTGATAGGCTAGCAATGCAGTAAGACCTGTAAACACATTTTTCAAACATTGAAAGGAAACCTTGGTGCTTCCCTGAAGCGAAACTCTGAGCCTCTGAACCAACTTTTATTTATTTCTCCAGATCTTCATTTGCTTCACTCAAGAATTTTGTTCTTCAGCAGGCCTTAGCATAAGAGAAATAAACAGTGGCCTTGCAAACTGAATGACACTCGTTGTTAAGAGCAGTTTCGGCCATTAATTATTATTCATTAAACGTCTTACAGTGGGTAAAGTATGAGAGAGAGGGGAGGAAATGGGCATTTGGCCCGCACGGTCCTGCCCTTGCGCGTGTGCTGATGTAGTGAATTCCAGAACTAGGATCCCGAAACTGATGAAACATGGGGGCAGTTTTTTCCCTTTTGCTGCCCTTTTCACCAGCAGATGCATCACATGAGCCTGGAGATATTTAGGGGTAGCGAAAACAGCAAAGAAACAACTTCTTACTGCCTCTATCTAATCTTCTGTGTGTTGTCCAACTCTTTAGGGTCATCCAGGGCCTGTTGGATGCTGGTCCCAAGGTCATCTCAGACCTGGCTGAGACCCATTGTAATATACTTACTTGGCACTTCCAGGATAACATCTCTTGCAGCCACTAGGACATAGCCTCCAATTTTGCAGTAGTTGAATCTGGCGAGATTCCCAGAACACAGCCTGGTCTAATTTTCTTGGAGGAGTTTCGGTTGGTTCAGCTTGAGGACACTGACAAGGTGCTCTGGCAGGTTTGTTCAGCCACATCCGTACTGGATCCTTGCTCCTCTTGACTTCTGAAATGAGCAGGGAGGGAACAGGAAGTTTCCTCTACCAGGAAACTTTATGAGAAGGACTTGTCCAGTGTCACCTTAAAATAGCAGGGGTGAAGAAGCCCTTTCAGAAGAAGCCCTCTCTGGACTCAGAAGGCCCAGAGAGCTTTAAGCCGGTGGCAACGTTCTGGGCAAAGTCCCTGAGCAGGTCGTTGAAGCTGATTATCCAGATCCATTTACTTTGGAGCTCAGGCCAGGTTTTAGGACAGAAATGGCTTTTGTCTCCTGGTACGATGACCTGTGTCAGAAGAGCGATGAAGGAGTGTGACCCTTTCAGCAGCTATGATACCCTTCTTGGGTGACTGCCTGAGTTGGGAGTGGGGAGAACTGCATTGCAGCGATTCTGCTCCTGCTTGGAGAGTTGGCTCCAGAAGATGGTACTTGGTGGACATTCAGTGTGGGGTTCCTCAGGGGCTGGGCTGGTCCCCATGCAATTCTGCATCTGCATGAAACTGGTGAGTGGGTGTTTTGGAGTGCATGGTCATCAGGACGCAGACGCATGGTTTGGGGATGCTCCGTGATCCATCTTGGTGATTTGAGGCCCTCTCGTCCTGAGTGGCATGGGGTCCTCCTCCGAGCTTTGGCTGGTGGCCCAGTTATGCCCCCATCTGTACAGGGATAGCCTGGCTTTAGTAAATCGTGCTCTGGTCTTCTCCAGCATAGCTTCCAGCGATGCTGGAAGGCAGTTCAGAGAGCACTGCTTGTGCAAAATGTGGCAACCAGGCTAATCACTGGGAACAGACGGTCCAAACATGTAACTCCCATTCTGGCCCACCAGTATGGCTGCCTGCGTGCTTCCAAGCCTCATTCTGGCTCGGAGCCAGAATCCCTGATGTGTCACTTCTTCCAGCCATGGTGTACCTACACACTCAGCCCTGTCTGCCGGTGCCACTTTCAAGGGAGACTGTGCTGGTGGCAACAAAAAGCAGGGCCTGCCCTGTGGTAGCCCCTAAAATGTGGGGTGAACGCTCTGTTGAGGTCTGCCTGCTACCACGTGTTCTGTCTTTATAGCCCCCTTTTTGCCAAGGCATTTACCAACTGTGAGCAGCACACGGGGTTGCGTTGCGTTTTACCAGCTGTTTCTTTTTAGCTGTATGAACTGGTTTTCATTCTTGAAATGCACTTTTAATTTTTTTAAAGTAATTTAATGCTGTCGCTATTGCTGTTTTACTTCATATTGTATTTTTTACGTGTTGTTCAGCACCGAGAGAACGTTGGTTATTGGGCAGTGTAGAAAACAAAACAAGGAAATCAGTGAACTAAGCTCTGCTTTCAGACTTATTGAACAGATAGATAGATAGATAGATAGATAGATAGATAGATAGATAAACATTATTGCGGTCAAAGACCAGCTCCATTCAGTAAATACATGGATTTTAAAAAGTAAATACATAAAACATTATATATATTAAAATCCCACTCGGATTAATAAATACTTTGACACAGTATCAGTCATCTTAAATCGGTGACAATCCCAGGCTTTGTCCTTGTCCAACTAGGGAGAGCCACAATCCCCCAGGATCTGCCTTCAGACACCCATCACGGCTGCGAAGAATTTAGCGACACTGTATGTTATTGTCGGGCTAGTGTCAGGCAGCAATATATACATAAATACATTCTTGTTCCGTACGGCCCAGGAAGCGATTCATCAGTGGGGAAATGAGAGCAGTGCGAATATCCCTGTAGAACGTGCACCTCAGCAGGACGTGCTCTGGGGTTTCTGTCTGGTCCATCCCACGGGGGCAAAGGCGCTCTGCCCAGGGGATCTTTTTGTACCCTCCCTCCAAAACTGCCGAGGGGAGTCTGTTAAGGCGGGCCGAGGAAAAAGCCCTTCTGTGTTTATGGAGTTCCACCTGTTTGAGATACAGTGCAGCTCTTGCAATGTGTCTATAGTCCTCCCTAAAATAGAATTCAGGGACTCTGTTGAGATAGCTTTGTCTTTCCATATCTGCAATGTGCTGCTTGATGGTTTTGGTTGCCTGTTCAAAACCCATATTTAGTACAGTCCACAGGGGGAGGCCCAGGAGGGCTATTTTCTGCTCAATTGATTTAATCCAGTTGGATTTGAAGTTGTCTTGCAGGATTAGTGGAGCAAGGCCAAGTAGTGAGTATACCAGTCTGAGCCGGTGCACAAGAATGGCCTCCCAGATCCTAGCTTCAATTTGGATGTGACTGGTCTCCAATCTTATCTTTGCACTGGAGAAATCCCCGGGAACACCCGGTATTGCCCTCAGAAATTTTGATTGGACGCGTTATAGTACTTGGGTGTTTGGGAAAGGCCCCAGTTGAGATCCATACAGTAGTTGAGATGTACTTTTGCTTGGTATAGTTGTGGGGCTCGTAGGGGGATGCAATGGCCACCTTTAGGTCTCATGAATTGCATTATGGCTGACGAGCTTCTCTGGGTGTTTAATGCCACATATTCGCCATGGGCCTTCCTGGAGCCATTCGCTTGTAGGACTGCACCTAAATTTTTGAACTGGGAAACCTGCTCGATCGTGTGCTGATTTATCTTCCATGGTCGAGTTTTTGGTCTTTTTGCAAAGGTCATGATTTTTGTTTTTTGGTAATTGATTGTCAGATCTTCTTCCTTGCAATATTCAGTCAGCTTCCACAGTGCTCTTGTGCGCCCAATTGGAGTCCTCAAAATAATAGCTGCGTCATCTGCATATAGCGGTGTAGTTCTATGCCTCCCTGCGATTTTGGGGGTGAAGATCGATGTGATTCAACTGGTCGACCAATGAGTTGATATAGAAATCGAACTGGAGTGGAGCCTTGCTTAACTCCTTTTTGTGTTGGAACAGCATTTGTGAGGTGACCATACACCAGACTTACTGGACATATATTTTTTGTACACGAATACAGTAGAACTCAGTAAAGAAAAGAGATGATTTGCACAGGATTGCGATTTTCAGTGGGGGTATTTTGGGTTAGTCCATGGCTAACCTGGGAAATGTTTCAACTCCACTTTGAAAATGGCCAGGTCATTGATGGCACCAAATGATTGAGGATAATTAAAACAAAAAGGGATTGTAAGGCATTCCAGAAAGATTTCTCCTAACTGGGACAATGGACATTAAAATGGCAGTTGTGCTTCAGTGTAAGCAAGAGTAAAGTAATGCCAACTTCAGGTATAACCTGATGGGTTTTGCAGCTACGTTGAGAAGAAGGGCCTTGGGGTTGTGGTGGACAGCGTGATGGAAAGGTTCACAGGGTCTGCAGCCGCTGTGAAAAAGGCAAATTCCATGTTAGGCACAATTAGGAAATGAAGTGAGGTGAAATAAGACTGCCAATATAATGTGTCTTCTCTACAAATCTGTTGTGTGGACTTAGTCAGAAGACTGTGTATGGTTCTGGACACCACACCTAGAAAGGGAATTGTAAAGCTGGGAAAAAGAGCAAAGAAGGACATTTAAAGCAATCAAGGGGTTGGAGCAACTCTCGTAAGAAGAATGGTCGCAAAAGAAAATAGCTTAGAAAAATGTGAGTAAGGGAAGATGTAATAGAAGTGTTGAAATTATGCATGGTGTGGAGAAAGCAGAGGGTGAAAAATTTTCTTGCTCTCCTGTAATATTAGAACCTGGGTTCCACAAAGCTCATAGGTGGGAGATTTAGGACTGCTAAAAGGAAGCCCTTCTTCACACACTGCATAGCTAAACTCTGAGAGTCACTTCCTCTGTATAGCCATCAATTTGGACAACTTTACAAGAGGATTTGACAAAGTCATTGTGGGTAAGGCTACCAGTGGCTACTAGTCCTGGTGGCCGTGCGCCGCGTCCAGTATTAGATGGGAAACGGGCAATCTGGATTCTCATCCCTGCTCAGCCATGGAGCCAACTGGGTGACTTTGGACCAGTCACAGGCTCTCAGCCCAGGGCCGTTGTGGGGATAAGAGTGAGAGCAGCAGGAGGAGAATGGTGTAAGCTGCTTTGAATACTTAAAAGAAAAAAGGCGGGGTATAAATCTAATAAATAAACATGGTGGGGGAATGCTGTAGCCCTGGTGTCCTGCTTGTGGATTTCCGGTGGGCAGCTGATTGGCCACTGTGCAGACAGAATGCTGGACCAGGGAGACCACTGGCCACACCCAGCAAGGCTCTTCTTATACTTCTGCACATTCATTGCTGAAAGCAGGATATAACGGAGCGGTTTGTGTTCTCCAGGGAGCCAACAGGATGCGTGGCCGTCTGGGGAGCATGGACAGCTTTGAGAGATGCAGCAGCCTTGCTTCTGACAAAGTAGGTAACATGCTTTAAAAAACGATTCAAGAATTTAAGCTGGATATATGGTCAGGTGCCTCTGTTTTCTTAAAAACTCTTTTAGTAAGAAGTACATTCCTGATAAAACGTCTGGTCATGAATTGCTGACTGTGTTTGCATGCAAGACTAATAAATTGCACTGAGATGATGATGATGATGATGATGATTACATTTCTGCACTGCCCATGGCCAAAGCTCTCTGGGCAATCCACTAAATTTAAGTCACCCATCCAGGTTTCAACCCGGCCCACTCCTGCTTAGCTTCCAAGATGAAGCAGGATCAGGCACTAGTAGCCACTTGCCCAGTTTTTGCCTGTGGCAAACAAGGTAAGCAAATTTGTATAAGCTCAGAGAGTTTGCTGGTATGAAAGAAAGTGGGGACTGACACAGGCCCTGGTATGCAGTTCAGCTGAGTTAGTGGTGGGCAGAGGTGCTAGGAAGTCGTTGACCTTAATTGCAAAGCTGCTTTCAAAAACAAACAAACTGTGAAAGAGTTTGAATGAGCCCACCTTTAAAGGAATTAGTCCATCTACATTTTCTTCAAACTCTGTGGGATAATGTCCCAGAGGAAAGAAAGATAGAAAACTGACTTGCTATTTAAGTACAACAGAGTAGTTTTTCGTTAATTGGAATGAAAAATATTCTGGGGAACTAAGGAACATGTGAGGAAAAGAGAAGCCTTGTTTGTCCCAGTTGGCATGCAGGCTCTAAAGCCCTGGCATTTAAAACCCATCCTTTCCTGTTAGCATGCGATACACTTCGCATTTATTTCCTGTTTAAATAGTTTCTCAGCCACGTGCACCCTTGGGATTATTTCCCCCGCAAGAAACACGGATGCAAAGCATTTCTTGTGACTCTTAATTTTCCTGTTGCTCTTGTCCTGGCAGAGCCCTTTTTCCAGGATGCTGCTTTGGCAGGACAGGAAGCCCTGTGCGAGATCTTTGCAGGAAATGAGCAAAGAAGGCAATTCGGACGCGAGCCTGCGCCCCTGGCTTGAATTGCCTTCTCCTCCCTCCCCGCCAGGCATGCTAAAATAAAATGCCTGTCCAGTGGCGTTCGGCTGGCTTTGTGTGCAGCTCAGGGGCTGTTGTTTGTCTCGGAGGTATTGTCCGTAAGAGGGCACGACCTGTCCGCCAGCCTGCTTGGCATGGCTTGCCACCCGCAGGCGCAGCAAGCCTGCTTCTTTCTGGTCCAGAAGGAGCAGCATCAGAAACGGTTTGGTTAACGGCAGGGATCGTTCTGCCGTGCTTAGGAGTGGGGGGCTGCAGAAGAAGGCCCCTCAATCCTCTCTGTGACTGCCTGCTTCCAGGAATGTTCCTCCGGGGAGTCTCCTCCCACGACACCCCCTTCTTCTCCCATATCCTCCATTTGGAAGCCCTTCCCTGAAGAGGAGTCCAACTCGCCCCAGTTCAGACGACGTGCGCACACTTTCAGCCACCCACCCAGCAGCTCCAAGAAGAAGCTCAGTTTCCAAGATGGGAGGTCCCAGAGCGTCCGCTCCCCCCTCCTGAGGCAGAACTCTGTGGAGCAGAACAGGTGAGTGGCCTTGGAGGACTGGGCAGGGTGGGTCGTGTAGTCACCTTTCCTTTCCTGATGGTCCATAGAGGTGGCCCATATCCTGGAATTCGAGGTCAAGAAGTGAGTCAGCACAGTTCCTCGGGTGCTTTTCCTCTCTGTAGGCGATTGGAGACTAACTTGAGTATTTATAGCATAATCCTAAGCATGCTTTACTCTGAAGTAAGCATCGGTGTCTTTATCTGGACTTCTTCACCTGTAAGTATGCATAGGATTGTAGCTTTAAGTTCTTGTTTGCTGCATACCCAAATCTTTGACCCATGGATGTGTGTTTTTGTTTCATTTTGGGTTTCTCATGTCACTTTTATGGGGTGGCTATGAAAGATTTTAAGCAACTTTAAGTACATATAATATTGATAGATTACATCTGTAAGCTAGAAAGCCACTATAGTGTATTGATTCGAAGAATAGTTCTTTGGGCACAGCTTGGTCAGTTTCCTCCTCAAACCCTGCTGAAGAGAATGGGAGACACACAAGAGCAGTTGGCCTCATGAAGTCGCAAGGCTTATTTATTTAAATATAAAGGGCATTTGCTGTTTTGATAGTGCAATGGCTTCATTTATATTAACATGTACAGACAGCTTTTCTGATGCAAAGTGACAGAGAATAAAAACGTTTTTTTCTGAGAAGCTCTGTCAATCAGTAAAAGATAATCAAATTAAAATCAAGCATTAAACCATGAGGCTCTTAAGCAACACATAAACCAGAGCAGCATTAGTGCTGGTACAGTTCATACCCCACCCCAGCTAGGGTGAGGGGCAGGGAGAACTTGCTAAAGGCGCCCTGAGAATGGGAAATCTTACAAAGCCAGTGATGGGATTTCTCTGATGTAACTGCAAGGGCCTCATTCTGCATTCTTGTCAGCTATACAGTGGGACACAAGAAGGTGTGGGGCAAGGGAAGGATAATACGGGATCCGATGGTCCTAAAACCCCTTGGTCCCAACCCATTTAGGTCTTTGAAGGTAATTATAGGCACTCTGAATTGGGCTCCAAAGCAAGTGGATTGCCAGTGAGGTTCCAAACCTGCAGCCCTGCCGACATTCTGGCTGCCGAATTCTGCACTGGTTGCCTCATGTCGTGTAAAAACACACAGCATGTCCTGGTCGTTTCCGATGCCGCCAAGGCATGTTTGTCCTTGGCAGAATCTGCCATGTGGTGCTTTAAGAAGTTGAAAATTCCTGTGCTATGGCAGTTAAATTTTGGTCCTTCAGGCTGCAATTTTATGCAAACATAGCTGGGAATAAGTAACCAGTTGAGGTTACTGCAGACAGACATGGATTGCACTGTTAGTGCCTCTCAGTGTTTCACAACTAGAAATCTGGTCACTTGTAGCTATCATGTAGCTCTTTTAATAAACTCGCTTGGAAATAAGTGTGTAATGCAAAGCTGTTGCTCTTGTCTTTGAAATTCCAGCATCTTCTTCCTCGTACGTGCATCTGCATAGTTGGGTTATATTCCGGGGGGATTTTGCAGGGTGTGTAGGTACAATGAGACCTCCTAAATGCAGCTGCAGGGGTCGGTTGCATTCATTGCAAGTGCTGTAACAAATTTATGGAGGAAGCTGAATGGCTTACCCCAAATCACTACTTAATTCACCCACAATCAGTGGAGAGTGGCTAGAACGAACCATTTCAGAACCTCTCCAACTCAGATCTAGTTTCCCTTATTTCTAGGGGACGGAGGGTCTGTATATCCTTGAGCTCTTAATATACTAATCAGCTTTGGTTGGGGTTCCCCCCCGCCCTCGGTTGAAGTGATGGGCAGAACAGCTTGTTCAATTTTAGTGGCCGTCCCTACTGAAGGGGTGGTAACACCAGTACCAGAAATCTTGGTGGCCGAGCATTCTGCAGAGCGACACGTTCATCCAGAGAGCATAAGGAGAGCCACGCTGGATCGCCCCAGTGGCCCACCCAGCCCAGCAGCCCATTCACGCAGTGGCACCCTAGCTGCCCAGAGGCTCCCTCGAGCAGGAGGGCTACCGCAGTCCTCTGTGCTTCCCCAGCCCCTGGGCAACCGGTGTGTCTGCATAGTGCCTCTGCTACTCGAGGCTGCGCTTAGCCAACAAGGCTAGCAGCCACAGCTAGTCCGCTCCTCCATGAAACTGTCCAGTTCCCTTTTAAAGCCATCGAAATGGGAGGCCATCCCAGCTTCCTGCGGCAGCGAATTCCACAGATTAACTATGCACCGTGCAATGGAGTACTTCCATCAGCTCCAGCACGGATCTTGCAAAGTCAAGGGGGGGGGGGTCTTCCTTGTTTGTGCCTGAAGATGCAGGGGCCCCCTCTGCTGACAGTCTTGCTTGTGACTGGGACAACTCCATGCAGGGGAAGGAGATGGCTGCAGCTCTGGGTAGGAGCCCCTTCCCAAATGGCAGGCAGTAAATTATCCCCGGCAGAAAGTCTCCTGCTAACAGCCGGGAACCGGAGATTTACTCATGTCTAAGTCAAGTACTAGCTGCGGGGCCTCCGCAGAGCTGGATTCCTCTTCATACTCTGTTCTGCAGAAGGGGAAATCAGTTGGGTGCTTGTCAGAAAAGTGACCTTGGTGTTTTTACAGATAAATTTAATGCCTGCCCTTTTCCTTTTGGGCGTTTTTGTTTTCTCAAATTGTAATCATGATTCCCACTTCGCAGCAACAATAATTGTGTTAGACTTGCTGACTGCATTTGTTTGTCTGTCGCTGCAGAGCTGCTGACTTGCTTAGTCAGCGGGTTTCCTGGTCAGGAAAGCAACTTACTGCCGCAACAGGGTCATATGTTGTTTTTATGCTCATGTGCAGACTCAAAATGACCAACTCAGAAATGTTTGCTAGCCAAAAGGGGAATGACCAGCCTCAGGTTTTACAAGCCTGAAGTAATTCTAATGATACTTAATGTCTTTTTCCACTAAGTGCTCCTGGTAGAAGTGTTTAAAAGTTTGGTGGATCACTTGTCTGGTAAACTTACTTAGCTTCTCAGACGTTTTTGGCATAACCAAATTTTAAACCCAGATCTGTTCACCTATTACCTATTTATCAATCTTGAAGTGTTTGGGATGACTTTTTTCTTACGTGCTTAAGGTGGCATGGTTTGCTTGAGAGCTTTTCCTTGCAAGTCCATCCCTGGAACAATTTAATTTTGACCTACGTCTTCATTCCATAGTCTGTAAGTATAAAGGAACAAGCCCCAAGCCTTAGTTTTATTCCTTTATTAGACCCCCACCACGCACATAGATGCAGAAATCTGTAGAAGGGGTGTTATCTTTCTTTGGAAGCAGACCCATTCCAGAAACCTGGTGGGAGGGCAGGATGAGGGGGTCAGTGGACTAATCGGATTAAAGTTAATGACTCTATTAACTTTACTGTTTGAAAAACACGCTTAAAAATCCGACACTGGCAATCCTCCAGGGTCTTTCTGATTAATTACTTGGACACTTCAAGGGTAGTAATGGGGTTACTCTGTCATCAGCTTGCAGTGGCCACCCAGAATGGCATGCAGCGTTCCCTTGCACCTTCATGACATGTATCAGAGCAGATGTGTGCTGGAATGCTGCGATGTCCAGGCGTGGCTAATTTCGGGGGAACATTGCAGTCCGAGATGGACGAGCATAATGCCACGGAAGTCCTTCATTTTGCACCGTCTGCTTTGGTCCACAGCATACCGGGGACCATGGTTTTCCTTAGATCCCAGTCCACCACAGAGCAGGAAATACAGGGAAAGGTTCTACACCTGTTTGGTTGCATTCAAAGGCAGGCCTGTTGTCTTAGGATTCTGCAGCGTGTGATGCAGGCAGTGTTTTGGTGATAATGTCCATTGCTGTTCAGGACTTAAGGCAGCCTCTAGCAGGGTGAGTCTGGGGTTGCTTCAAAAGTGGTTACACTGAAACTTACGTTCTGCGCTTTCTCTTGTTGCCTGCTGTCAGGCCGACCACCTCCCGACGCACTCACAGTGAGAGTGAATCGTCCATGCCGTCCAGCCTCCCTTCTTCCTTTTCTGCCCCATCTTTCCTGAAAAGCTTTTACCAGAGCTCAGGAAAGCCATCTCCTCAATCCGAGAACGAGCTCCCCGAGAGGTGAGAGGACTGGTTTTGCCTGGCCCGTGTGGTGTGCACCCCTGCCGCTGGCTTGCGAGAGGAACTGTTTGTACTTGCTGCCGCTTCCGATCTGATCGTTCCCGAGCATCCCTGAACAGAGCATTCTGGGGAAATGCTGCTTGAACTTGCTTTTCCGCAGCACTGTTTGCATTTCTGAAGCCAGAATTACATCTCCGTATATCAACATTGCCATTCTCGTGGTCCTGGGTCTCTTCTCTAAAGCTCACGATGGTGCTAGCCTTGAAAATAGGGTTGTTGTTTTTTAATGGTCCTATAAAACTTGGATTTGCCTCTCCAACCAGTATAATCGAGTGGTTCTTAGATGGGGAGGTCCCCTTGGGTTGGCCTTGGCCAAGGGCAAACCAAGTCTCCAGGTTGTGAAGTGGGCATGCTGCTGGTGGTCTGCCTCACAGAATTGCCGTACGGTTGATTGGAGGAGATGGAGATGATCAGAGCACTTTAACAGGAAAATTTGCCCTGTTGTAAGACCACGGCAAACTTGAGAGCCTAGCAGATTAACAAAAATGTGCAAAAAACAAAAAAGCAGACTGAATATTAAGTTCAGGGAAAATACCCAGCTGTTCTTCGCTAGAATTTTGGGGAGATTTGTGTGTGTGTGTGTGTATAAAATGTGGCAATGTTGATGAGCTTAGTGAACACCTACTAATTAGCTTCGTTATAGCGCACTGAATGGCAGGCGTGCTGTGGTTGCTCCAGTGTGACTAACATCAGCATGGTTTTTTAGAAATGCTTTGAACTTTGGCCCGTGAGCTGCACCACCTCGGCTTACGATGATGGCTCCCTGGGATCTGCGAAGCATGTTGTGGGGCTGCCTTCCTCAATCCAGCGACTGCCAGATGGGATGGACTACAGTGCCCATCATCCCCAGCTGATATGACCTAAAGGCCAGGCGTGATGAGAGTTGTAGTTCTGTGCATCTGAAAAGCAACAGGTTGGGAAAGGTGGGGAGACCTTATCCGACGCCTGTGTGGCAATCCAGATGTTTGTATTTCCAAGGCATCCATCAGTGGTGTGTTGAGGGACATGCAGCCATGTTGCACCCACAACCATTGCTCATTCTGGTTGGTCTTTCTTAGTAAGTGTGAATTACTCTCCACTCGCTGTTAGCGGGGTGATTATTCGGCCAGAAGCTCTTGCGCCGAAGCACTTCCCTTTCCTAAGAACTGCAAGGCAATTTTTAAAAGACATTTTTGGCACAGCTGAACAAAGCCTTCTGAAGTAACGCAGTGCATTCCAGGAGCATCTGTGGGTGTCCCAACGTTATTTTACCATTGCAGCGTATTGGAATGGTTTGGGAAATGTGGTTGCATGAAATTTGGGCTGGCCTTCCTTCCTTCATGTATTTATCGTATTTACATACTGCCCCAATAGCCCAAAGGGCTCTCTGGGTGGGTTACAAACATAAAAACCCCACATACAACAATGAAATACCCAGATAAAACACAGAAACACTAAAAACACTAAAAAATACAACTAGCAATAAATTCATTGAAAAAAGTTGCTCTGTAATACAGCAGCAGCAATACGATATTAAAATATAAATACACAGAATTTGCCAAGTGTTAATTTTCAAATATCTAGTGGAAAAAAAAAGTTTTGACTGGCGTAGGAAAGATAATGTAGATGGCGCCGGGTTTACCTGAGGAGCACATTCCAGAGATGGGAAGCCACCACTGAAAAGGCCCTTCTGCTATTCACTCCCCGCCCCTTTGAGGCAGATGCATCCTTCATGGTTCTTCTGTCTCGCTTCTAGTTTGCTAGGGATTTTTATTACGCTGTCACTGGAGGCCCACAGCCCAATCCAGCACTCGTGAAGCACTGGTTTTGAAGATGTGGGAGTATGTCTGAAGTTCTGCTCGAGCTTGTGAGGAGACAGGCAGCCTAGTATCTGTCCTGTAGAGTTCAAAAGCTCCTGGTCCGTGTTGGCTTGCCCAGAGCATTCTTAATGGCTTAGAAGAATTGGCAGCCGGAAGAGGGAAACACCACTTCATAGGTTCCGACGGGATGGGCGGAGGGTTGTCCAGCGATGTCAGAAGCAGCGAGCAACTAGGGTGCACTACGTTTAAGAGTTTTGGAACTCTTTGGCTGCCATCATGTACACGCGTTTGGTTCCTGATCTTTTAAATCATTCTAACTGAATGGATTATCGTTTGGTATGGCAATGTAGGCAAAACTGAGATGCATCATGCCAGTCTGAGCTGCCTCGGACCCAGCTAGACCACCCAACATTCAAAAGGAGTCTGAACAAGATGTTACTAGTCTTCCAAAGCTGAGCAAGGTCAGATTTTGTAGGATTTCATTGAGAAGCACCTGAGCTTCGCAGAGTTTATGCACACAGATTCCCATAAGGAGGATCCGACCCTGCGTTTTGCTGCCACCCTTCTTGCCTGTGGCATCTCATGACCCTCCGCCACAACTGGCAAGCTGGTGCTGGATTTTTTGTTCGAAAGGGCTGCTCAGACAGCAGTTCTGTGGTCCTTGGCTGATCCTTGTTTCTAAGCCCCTGAACTTGGCCTCTCTTCGTGGTCACTACACGGGGTCACTGCATGCACTGCATGGTTCAAATGATTATCAGATGCGTGGAAAACAGAGAGCATGGTACTGTGGCTGGACGGAAGCATTTGCTTCATCTGCAAGCGACTTCTGTGTTGCTGTTGCTGCTGGGCACCCTGATGTCATGATGCATTTCATCTAGTGTGCAACAGTGAAATTCTCCCTGAGCAAAAGGAATTACATTATGAATTACTTTTTCTTCTTGTGGTTTTAGGTTAAGCAGAAATATGCTTAACCCACTGGGTGACCTTACTGGGGTTAGAGCTTTGCAAAGAGGTACAGAGCATCAGAATCAGCCAGTCAGAGAATTCACATTGATAGGAACTGTGCCGCATCAGAAATATTTTCAGTTCAGTTGTGAAACTGGTTGGTAAGATAAAGTTGAGCAAAAATCTGAGCTGTCCCCTTTCTCTGTTCCTTGAGTGTTTGGGTTGGCCAGCTAATTTCAAAAAGTACAGACTAAGAGGTGTGTTCGCTAGTTCCTTTGTGGCCCTTCAAAGGAAATGAGAAGTGAAAGTGAATTTTACAGTAAGAGAATGCACATTTTCTCCATGGGCAGCAACAAGAAACAGCTACTTTTGAGTCAGTTGTAAATTGTGGATTAAACTCCAGGAGCAGGGCATGGATACACATAAAAGATGGAGAGTCATTTCAGGAGACCATCCTGAGAGGATGTTGTGAAGATGTAGTGATTCGTGGGGGGAATTCTTGCCGCTTAGGAGGAGCATGGCTGTCTTTGGAGAAACTCTGTGTTAAGCCAATGCAACTTGAAGAAGGAAGTTTGTCCATGGTAGAGATACGGTCCAGCCAAGCACCTAACAAGGGAAAATAGGTTTCTGCCACTGCAGGTAGGTGAAGAATTTTGAGAATTGCTTTTGGGCTGTTGTGCAGTGTATCAGCGACAAGTTAAAATGTCCGAGGCAGCTCACTGCAGGTTTGCTTTCTTACCTCTGTGCGCTGCTTCAGTTCTAAGAAAAAGTTGCCATGTGGTTACAGAGAAGTTTAGCATTGCAAAGGATTTATAGCTGTTTTCCTGGTTCTGTAACTGACGCGCTAGAGACTGCGGCATTGGCTTGAATCAAGGATGCTGGGACTTCTGCTGATGTACTGTTAAGAAAACAAGACAAGAAGCACCCAACTTTCAAGGCAGTGTTATTTGTAAGAAAGTAAGTAAAGTGAGTTTATTGTTGAGACCATGAATCATAACATAAAAGTGCCATAAATACCATGAAACAGTAATGATAAAACAATGAGATAATGAAAATTATAAAATAAAACAGTCAAAGTTATAAAGAAAAGGTTACAGCAAAATAGGGCCAGTGCTACAACCGAGAGTGTAAAAAGGTCTTTTTGAGTTTAAATGAGAACAGCGCAAAGGTGGCAACTTGATTGCTGGCAGTTGGGTTTGTTTGTGTTTGCTGGACAGACCACAGTCTAATGGAGAAGCTAATAGAAGCCCTTCCCCTGCCTCTGCTACTGCTGATCCCTCTAGCATGGATCAGCTGTGTTTACCTTGTCCCATTAAGCATTTCTTAACTTACAAAGATTTACTCCCCTCCCATCCTTAGAACTAAAATGTTAAACTGCAAAATAAATGTACCCCATTTGCTGCATCAATACAAGACATTCTGAGAAAGTTTGAGGTTTGCACCACAGGTGTCTGCCTTTTTTTCTAGCTCACCCGTTCTACTTCCGTATTTGTAGTTCTGTGTATGTTAAGCAGGTTGCTTGTTTGTATACATTATTTACTATTATTAGGTATAGTGCTCCAGTTTAATTTTGGTTGATGTATGAATTGCTTTCAAATACTGGCAGTTCTATTGATAGTTTAATACTATAATTTAAAGAATTCTGTTGGTTTTAACTAATTCAGTAAAAGTGTACAAGGGTTATAAAGGAAATTCATAATAGACCCTTTTGAGTTGCAGAAAAAAAATATTTCATCTTTGCTGGTGCATAGGACAAATGCTGAGGCCCTTCTTTCATTCCTTCCCTGTGTGAATATGATGGAGACATTTATTTATTAAATTTCTAATCCGCCCATTAGCCAGAATGGCTTTCTGTGCAAGTAACATTCCTTGCTTCAGTGCAATGTGCCAGCGAGTGTTGTTGAGATACACAAGAATGTGCCCAGTGCCCTGGACTGTCTGGGAATTTAAAGCTCTCACGTATGGTTCTTCTAGAACATGCACAAGGTTAGGGCTAGGAAATTCAGGGAGGGCTAGGACATTCAGGGAGAGGAGGAGAAAATAGCATCTGCACAATGCTTCTGATTGCTAGCACTAAGGACCTGACCCTCTGCAGGCATCCCTTCTCTGGAAGTGCTTCAGGACTGGGGCTTAACCTTTGCAAAGCTTACCCTGTAACAGCAGGCACAGACAGACTGTAAGTTGGGTTCTGACAGATCACAGGATAATTTGAGCAGATCAGCAAGTTGCTTGAAGAAGGCTAGCTGTGTTCCAGTGCCCATCCATTCGCCCTCTCCAATAATCGACCTGCAATAATATATGTAGAACCATATATTGTACTACCATGCTATGCCACTGTAGGGTTCACGAGATGGATTCTGTAGTGGGCTCCAATCCTTCCGCCACCATTTTGCATCTTCCTCCAGTTGACACCCCCTGGCATTCCATACAGATTCCTCAAGGCCAAAAATTGCATTATCGTATAACACCAAGCATGGTTGTTACTGGCCGGGGCATAAGGATGGTAAATACAGTGAAGCCCTGGGCCCATTCGCCTTCCCCAGCTTGGTGCCTTTCAGATGCATCGGATCACAGTTTTCAGCATCCCTACATTTTTGCAGGTTTTCTGCAGAGGTTGTAGAAAAATACTTCACTTTAAATAGGTCTTCGCGATTGTCAGTGAGAGCTAGGGTGCAGTGAATTATTCTTGCGCATTTTCCTCCTCGGTGCATTTCCCTTGTGTCAGTTTAGAGTCAAAAAGATCACAAGTAAAAGAAGGAAAGGTTTCTTCCAACAGCCACTCTGACCACCTTTGTGGTCGCCCCATGTTGGCTTTACATTGCATCCACTAATCTACAGAAAACCTTTGGAAATCACAGCTGCAAAAGCGTGGAACAAAACGTGCCTCTGCAGAAGTAACCGTTGGATGCTCCAGTCGCTTTCCTGCACACAAATGCCTCCTGGAATGTTGGTGTAATTAGGAAAGAGAGACTTAATAGATCTTGAACTTAATATTCGATTCTGAACCCCGTTTTGATGTGTACAATGCTTCCTCCTCTATCCAAAAGCCCTGAAGGGATCATGAATCTTCAGGTCACTAGAAGCTGAGATTCGCAGCATTCCAGGTTTAAATCCAAGCCTATAGACATGGGGAGACACAACAGATACGGAGCAGTGTCTTGATTTGGGCAAGGAAGATTCTAGTGCATCTGGTTCCTTCTTTGACGCAGTGTTTGGCTTTAGTGATTCCAGAACGGTTGCGTGGGACTTCGAATTGCTTGATGAAAACACGGTTGAGCGAGTTCTAGCTACAATGTACGTGAGCATGCATGGCAGGGAGCAGTGGAGGGGTGAAAATGCTACACCAAGGGCTCGACTAGGGGTAATGCACCGGCCAAGTGAGCTCATGGGAACATTGGGAAGCCCTGATGTATGATTCTTACACAGTCTGGGAGCAACGGAAAAGGCATGTTTGCTGGTTTTGCATGGGTCATTCGGGGGCTTCAAGCCATGCTGCTTCTTGATGACTTGGTTTTTTACATTTTCTCATGCAGTGATGGGGAGAGAAGAAAAAGGACCTCCTCTGTGTGCAGCAATGACTCACTAAATGCTGGTGGAATCACTCTTACGCCCCGCCGGATCTCCTGGCGTCAGAAGATCTTCCTCCGGGTCGCATCGCCCATGAAGAAATCCCCCTCAGCAATGCAGTTTCAAGGTCCGAGTGCCTCGGGGAGAGCAAGCGATACATTGTCCTTTGATTTTCTATTTTCAAGAGTAGGATTCTTTTTTTTAAAGTCATGGGCATGATCTGCACGGTGTAAGCTTGTTTGGTCCGTATACATGTGTTAACATTGCCACATCGTTTTTACTGGATGCTGGAGGTTACCATCCACGTCCGAGGGAAGTACGTGATTTACTGGCTACCTTTAAATGAATTAAATAAGGTTTTCTAAAAATAGTGCTGTTGCCCTTAGCAGTTCCCTGCCTGGAAGTAACGGCTGAGGAAGTGTTAGTGGAGAGACACAGGAGCAGATCTGGAACGGCAGCGGGCGGGGTGCTGAGGTGGTGAGAATACCTGCTTGAATAGGTCTTGAGTTCTTTTGGTTTTGGTTCTTAAAGAAGTCTGCCTTCTGCTGTTTCTTGAATTAATTCTGCAGCAGACAAACAGAGCGAGTTAAATGCTTGCTTGCTGCTGTTCTTTCTGCCAGCTGCTCATCTCAGACTTATGGCAATGCTCTGAATGAGAGCACTCCAGAATGTTCCAGCCTTGGCAGCCTTGCTCAGTAATTGCAGACTAAATGCTTGCAGTCAGTAACAAATCTCTTATTAGTAAAAGTTGCTGAAATATAAATGAGGGAGGATTTGGTTTGCTCCCTTTTCGGAGGTTACAAGAACTCCATGCTTTACTTCTGCTGGTTCCCATCATCGTATTAAAAGGTATGTTACTGTCAGGCCAGTGAGGTAATAGTAGCTTTGGATGCACTAATTGAATTTTGCAATTAGTAGCTGGGAGATATTTATTCAAAGGAGGCTATGGACCAGAAAGAAATGTTTCAAATGAGCCAGTATCTTTTCAATATGCATATTTTAAAGCCCATTGATGGCACATTAGGTAATATAAAATCTTGGTCCCTCACTTTCCAGAACAAAACTGGTGGATTATAAATGTCCTTTTGCATTTCTGATTGGATAAGTATTTTCAGAGCACTACAGAAGATTAAAGATCCCTCATTAGCACCCATTATATTCAAAACTGAATGCAACTGGTGGAGCAAATTGCCAGAATGTGTTGCTTGTCCTTATGGTAGATCAAATTGTCAATGCCAGAAGTCTTAAAGCTTGCGCTTACTCTTGCATGAAGAAGCGGTATTGGATGAGATAAAATCCAGAGCAGAACACTACGATCAGTCTAAGAAATTGGCCAAGAACTGTTCTGTCCTCTTCGGATGAGGGCACAGTCATGCCTGTAACGCCTGTGCATTTGTCCCCTTGACTTTATTTCGATGAGCTCATGCCATGGAGTGCAAGATCGCAGTGTGAAAAGGTTTCATGCTCTGCCCCAAGGAGCTTACAGTCTGCAGTTTGCCATTGGACTAAAGAGAAATGGGACAGAGGTCACCACGGAGCATCTGTGGTTACATGCACTTGGGCACTTAGTTGGATTTATTTAATAAGTCCCTGGCAGTGATGGTGGCAGTAGGTTCTTCTAGCGGACCATGTGCAGAGAATCTGTGGCTAACCTACCGTCCTTTGCAGATGGAGGGGATGGAAACGAATTGTTACCCTTGTCTCCCCTTGCGCCATCTTTCGATGAAGACCCGCTTGTTTCCATATTACAAAACGATGATGCCCAAGACAGGACTGGGGAGAAAAAGAACTCAGAAGAGCTGCAGAGTCTGTGGAGGAAAGCAATCCATCAGCAAATACTGCTACTTCGGATGGAAAAGGAAAACCAGAAATTGGAAGGTTAGTGAAGGTTAATGTCAAGACCAAGAGGCCCAACGATCAGCAAACATTTCTTTTGTTTGTTTGCATTAGCCCATGGAAAGTTGCTGAACTGTCAGTCTTACTTCTTCTAATCGATGGGATTGTACCCCATCCTTTGGTACAATAATTTTCCAAGGAGCTCACAAAATTAAGAAAAAATGTTTAAACAGGAGACCAACCCATCCTGCTTTAAGGCATGGCAGTTCTCGGACGAGCCCAGAATCTGTGGGGGATTCAGCCCCTTAAAACTGTTATTTTATTTCCCTCCTTCCATTGGAGCAGCCGTGCCTGCACCTTCATGGCAACCGCTGCTGCTGTCTTCCCTGTGCCCATCCGCCACGCACCTGGCACAGGGGTTTGCAGCTGGGCTTTGCAGCAACAAGATCGGTATCGGCAGCCCAGTTTCTGCAAAGGCATTTTGCCGAGCTTCGCGGCCGATCTAACTCCGTGCAGGGTTCAGGGCATGTGCTTGGTTTGTCCTGGGCAGGCAGTGCCCCATGGGACCTGGGAGTGAGCTGTTGGATCCCCGCTCTCTCAGGTGGTTTCATGGCAGCGGAAGCCCCGCTAGTTGCCGTACCATGTTGAGAGGAGAAGGGAGCGGGGGCATGTTATCCACCTCCGTGTGCTGAGAGCAAAGCCCTGCAGTGCAGTGAGGCCTCTTCTCTGCAGGTTGGCTCCCCTTGCAACTTGGAACCGGTTTTCTGACACATGCAGGGAGCCTCTTCGCCTGCAGTGCATGAAGGCTGCAAGGAAAGGGCGGAGGAGGAGAAGCCAGCTAGCACATCTCTGCCCTCATCGCTTGCAGCTTTCAAAGCTCAACAAGGGCTTCAGAAATGGTTCCCTGTAAGGAGGCAATCTATTTTGCCCGGAATCTCCCAGGATCAGGGGCAGCACAGGTGGCCAAAATCATGGGTTTCAGAAAGGTTTGGAAACGAGCAGCAAAACTGGTTTTTGCAACGTGGCTTCCTTTCCATGAGCAACACTGACTTGACCATTCCAGAAATGAGAATTGGTGCTCATTTCTGGGTTTGTTTTGCTTTGGAATCACTTGTTCCGGTTGCTCTATACTAATCTTTCTGTAGCAGAATAGAATACTGAGCAAAATTCCTGGGTTTAGAACCTGCTATACACTCAGCACCATGGAATCTGGATTCTGGAGCGTGTGCCTTAAGCTGCCGGTGGGAAGTGGACACCTTTGGGGAAAATTGAGGTTTGTATGTATGAATCTGGTGCGTTGATGAGTGGAGTTCAGGGTGCAGCTGGTGTCCTGTTTTCTCCAGGCTGGGACAGGGGTTGGCTTGGGAAGAAACATTCAGTCATGCTGTCTTCTGTCTTTAGGTCTGAGTGACACGGCCGAGCCACCTGGACTCCCAATCATGGGGAATAGGCAGGATATAAATAAATGTAATAATGCTGGCCCAGAAACAGAGTTATCCTTTTGATATGTGGAATGTATAAACTGGTGCTGGGACGTGGCGCATGGGTTCAACTTGGGCAGAGTTCCGTGTGACGGGGTGTGCATTTAACAGGTCGTTAATCGGTGTGCTGGCCCTTGCAAGGTTACACTTGTGCTTGTCCTCTGTGATCTTACCGAAAACAGTACTGAGTGAAGGGTCATTTGAATGGGGTGTTGGGGTGCATGGGAACTTGTTTAGGTAAATTCTTTTGCGAACTAAGAGTTTTGTTTAAGCCAATGGAAATGTTGGTGCTGGAAGAGCAAGCACGTAGGTTTTATGGAAGGGGAGGTTAATCCTCTTAATCACTTACTTGAACTACTTAGAAGCTAAATGCAGTCATCTGCGGAATACAGCATTCACGGGGGCAATGTAGAATATCTTTACAGGATTAAATGGCATGTAAACCTTTTGTGTAGATTAGAGATATAGGGAACTCCCTGAAATCTGTTCCATCTGTAGATTTTCAGATGCCTTTCACTCATTGGCAGAATCAGATTTTGCAAAATGTTTCGGTACACATTTTTTCACACTTCTATAAATTAGTCAGTTCCCTTAAAATATGCAAGAATTGCCGGATAAATATTTTCACACTTTAGCCTATGGGGGTAATACGTGTTTTCATTCAATGTTTTTAAACCACTTTTCTGTGACTAAATCTGCATAAATTTATGGGAGATTGAACAAAAAAATCCCCAAACCCAGAACCTGTAACTCAGAAAAACCAGGTCTGCTGTGAAATCTTAGGTGGATTTATAGAGGTTCAAACTCGCTGCAGAATTCTCCAACTTTCCCAGCATGGGATAAAAGTGCATGGAACAAATGGGAACCTCCTCTTCCTTCCATAACGATCAACGTGCAATGGTGAAAATAAGAAAATAGCAGACAAAGACGGCAGAGGGAATGGAGTGGAAGTTCTGATCCACAGGTGTTACCATGTTTAGTTGCATTAGCATCCTGCTAGTTGTGATATTGCACCTCATGTGATATGGCATAACTGAATGAGTGGGACAACATTAGGCCATGTGTGTGTGTGTGTGTGTGTGTGTGTGTGTGTGTGTGTGTGTGTGAGGATTGCAGGGTTGGTGTGAAGGTCAACCTTTGGCCATCGTGCCGTGGTTTCCCCTTCCTCCCCCTCCCTCCCACACCATGTGTACATGCACTTATTGTCTGTGGAGCTTGCCAACGAAATACTAATAAAAATACCTCCCCTTCTTCCTAATGCTGTCGAGGAAGCTTGAATGATGTTTTGTTTCATAGAAGGTAAGATGCATGTGAGGACAATCTGCTGACTTGCCCGCTTTACCACTTCCCATGACTTCTGATCCTCCTCATTTCATACAGATCTTCCTTTAGGTGACTGCAAAACCTGCAATGGCTCCAAGACAATCAGTATTAAAGTATTCCTTTGTCTTGCCTGTGAGTTTTGTGTCCTAAAGTAAATCTGATAATTCTGTATATGGGTTAACTAGTGAGGTATGTGAGATAAAGGCTACAAGCTTGCTCTCTGCCTTGAGCTAAGCCTAGAGGCCCAACCTTTGCAGGCCTTCTCCTTGCACTTGCCAGAATTAGAAAGAAAGAATTGTACCCAGAATTGCAATTTACTTGAAGATGAGCTCTTCTTGTCCCTGAGAATCATAGAATCTTACAGTTGGAAGGGGCCCAGAAGGCCACGGAGTCCAACTCCCTGCTCTTTGTAGGACTCAAGTCTCCCATCCAAATACTAACCGCACCGGACCCTGCTTCGCTTCCAAGATCAGGCAGGATCAGGGAAGGAGATGGAAGAGCATATCTGCCTGAGGCCTTCTGTCAACTTCACTTCAGGGTACAATCGCAGGGTGAAAACCTTGAGCAACTTGAAAACAAAGCTGTTACGTGAAACTGAACCGTGAAGGGAATTTGAGGTCCACTAGTCTTCTGAATTAAGAGAGACGCCTTAGAAAACAGAAGCGTATAGCATTTCCTGACATGTTAACTGGCTGCAGAGGTTTCAGCATTCCCAGGGTTGGTCAGAATTCCCAACGTCATCTTCTGCTTTCCAATAACGAAGCCATCATTTCTGTTGTGGGATGTGGCGAGACATTCCTGTGTCCAGTTAAGGATCTCCAGGAATCTGAGAAAATGGCTTTTATGCCGAGCCTGACCAGTGGTCCATGTAGCTCGGTACTGTCTATGCTGACTGGCCGTTCTCTAGGATTTTGGATGGTCGTCTTTACCCCAGGATGCCAGAGATTAAGTCTAGGACTTCTTGCATCCTAACTGCATACTTTCCCGCTGAGTTATAACTCTCCTTCTCAGTCCCTGTGTCCCACTTTGGCAGATCGCTTCCTCCCTGCCCAGTCCTGCAGGCACATCTCGACATTAGTCTGCTTCAGAGGCGTTTCTTGTTGCAAGGATGAATTCAACCAAAATGGTAAAACACAGTCAAGGTTTGCAGAGCTCCGCTCGCCAGATAATTCCAGATTCCATAGAACACTGAGCCCTTCCTGATGCATGAGAATGCAGTTGGTAGTGCAACTTCCTGACACAACATCACCACAAGGAGACTTGTGCAAGAGTTACGTCACGTACAGACAGCAATTTCAAAAGTGTTCTGCACTGGTGCACTGCTTTGCTCTACACTGCAAGTAAGAAAGCAAGTGTGGATTGCAGGCATCTCTGAACAGCGTGCATTTTAGAAGAAACATCTGTAGGATTGCAGATGTGGCATCCTTAACAAAATCGAGATTGACAAAATCCATTGTTTTGCTGCATCTCTTTTATGTGTGAAAGAGAACTAAAATGCAGTTGAAGCAGATGAAGCAGTAGTCAGAACTGGTACTTCGCTATTTGAATTCTTGTAGACAGAATAATGCCACTCGATTAATGCCATCTTTGGCCAGAAATGTCGCTTTTCATTTTGCACATTTCTTGCATACACACCTGTGCATGTATTTCAAAACTATTCTTTGTAACTCATTAGAAATCCAATAATTAGCCTAAAGATAGGAAAAAGAATCATTATACTTGATGCGTTTTTGCACGAAAGCCAGAAATTCTGCTCCTTGGTATGAATGTGAGATGGCATACGGGGTAAGAACAAAGCGCTTGCCTTTTGCAAAGTCAAGTAGCTAAGACCATGCTTCTTATTTATCTATTTATTTCAATTCACTTTCTGTGCCGCCCCATAACCCAAAGGTTCTCTGGGCAGCTTACAATACTAGAACATAAAACTATACATAAATACAACAAAATTATTGATCATATCAAGAATAAAATAATAAAGCACCGCAAATAAAATATGCTCACACATACCAGTAAACACAACCAACAAAATAACCAAAATTAAGATAAAAAATCCATAACAAAATATTAAAGTATTAAATAAAATACAATAAAATCAACCCAAAACTTGCTTAAATAAAAAAAAAATCCACCTGGTGCCTATTCATCCTTATTGCTACTTTTACTATTACCCATCCTTACAAAACAAGATCCAGAATTTGCTTAAGAGCTCTCAATGGGTTCCCTGAAGTGTGCAGACTTTATGCCCCATTAGTGAACCTTCTCCCAGACTTCTTTTCTGCCGTTGACTCACTGGGGCAGCTCCTGGATAGATGCAGGCTCTTCCGAAGTGCAAGATGCATAGCCCCCCCTCTGCGGTACCCACTGGTTATTTATGGCCATTAATTGGATGCGCTGTTTCCCTTGTGTCCTCTCTCTCAGCAAGCAGAGACGAGCTGCAGTCCAGAAAAGTCAAATTGGACTATGAGGAAGTTGGTACTTGTCAGAAAGATGTTATCAACGTCTGGGATAAGAAACTGCTGAACTGCAGAGCCAAGATCAGATGCGACATGGAAGATATTCACGCTACTCTGAAAGATGGTAATTTTGGAGTGTAGCTGGCTTATTCAATAGAGGAAGTCAAGAGCAGTGCACAAACCTTCCAGCTTCATAATGCAAAACAGGAGAGCTAGTTTCTCTAAACCACCGCAGTGTCCTTTTACTGACATTGTTTTTCTTGCATTTTCAGTGGAAGGTGGGTAAGCTTTATTTCAGCCTTGCCCATTTGGTGAAGGGATGGCCAGCAAATAAAGATCTCTGGACCAGAGTTAACGATGAGAAGAAAGCAGACAAGGCTCAGCTGCTTTAATAGGCCTGTTCGGACCTTGTCATCATGACGACGTCATGGGGTGCAACAGGGTCCGGTTCCTTGCTCCTTTGCAAGACTTGGGTAGAGAAGTCCCCAGTGGTGCAGCACTTAGGTGTGGGGCTGAGGTGCAGGAGATCTGAGTTCCAGTCCCCGCTTGGACTCGAGTCCACTGGGTGACTTTGGGCCAGTTGCTGAATCTCAGCCTAAGTGATGCCACTTGGTTGTTATGAGGATAAAAGGGAGAGGAAGAGGTTAATTGTGTGAGCCGCTTTGTGATCCTTGCAAGAAATAAAGGGGATATAAATACATTAAATGAAACAATTAAAGGTGTGCACAGAGTTCAAATGAGTGTGAAGGGAAATGGATAATCTTACATGCATTTGCATCTCTTCCCTCACTCTCTTTTTTTTAAAAAAAATGTCTTTCATGTTTTGGCGTGGCCAGGTGTACCGAAAAGTCGCCGGGGAGAAATCTGGCAGTTCCTTGCCGTGCAGCATCGTGTGAGGCACCGGCTGCCAAATAAGCAGCAGCCCCCGGACATCTCGTATAAGGAGCTCCTGAAGCAACTGACGGCTCAGCAGCACGCGATCCTGGTGGATCTAGGTAATTTCCGCCACAGGTATTCTGGACGGCAGGCTCCCAGGGGGCGGGAGTTGCAGCAGAAGCGAGGTTTGCTGCTATGCAGGTATGACAGACCAAGCCCTGGGCTCTTGTCACATGCATGTGAAGGTGTTTTCCAGATGAGCTGCACCCACTTCTGCAGGAAATACCAATTTGATGGGCCCCAGGAAAGAGTGGCTAGGTTAACTTCCTGTTTTTCAGCCTTTCCTCATACCTGTTTGCAATGGAAAGCCAGCCAGGATTCCCCATTCCTCTGGCCCACTAGGCCAAATCCTGCCCAGTAAATACCCAGTCCAAGAACCCTGAACCAGACACTGGATTCGGCTCATGACAAACCCAAGCTTGGGGAGACAGACCACATTATTGAAAGGTTACAAATACAGGTGGAGGGTCTAAAACATCTTGCCTAAAAGGATAAGAACAGGGAATGAGGGGAAAGGGGATTTGGACTGGAAAGGTATAGCCAACCAAGAACTCCCCTCCTAGAGTTGTTCCTAGAGTCACTTCACATGAGGACCAGGACACACTGAGTTATCACACCTTTGAAGCCCAGGTAAGGTCACAAAGCTATTAACCAGGTGTGACAAAAACTCTTGCCTCTTTGGCCAAGCGGCACTTCGGGTAGTTGCGACAGGCTTCTCTGCCATGACACGCCCCTTTCCCAAGCCCTCCTTGAGAAGGGAGTCTGCCCATCAGCCTCCCTGCCTGAGCTGACGGAGATCGTCTCGGACCTGGTGTTGAGGACCCCCAGGATGTTGGTCCTGGGGGACTTCAATCTCCATGCCGAGACTGGTCTGACCGGGGCGGCTCAGGACTTCATGGCCTCCATGACGGCCATGGGGCTGTCTCAACATGTCTCCGGCCCGACCCATGAACGTGGACACACGCTGGACCTGGTTTTCTCGACGGGGCAGGAAGAGGGTGATTTGAGGGTGCGGAATTTGTGTCTGACTCCCTTGTCATGGTCAGATCACTTCCTCATGAGGTTTGAGCTCGGAGCTGGCCTTTCCCTCTGTAAGGGTGCAGATGGCCCTGTTGTGATGGTCCACCCTCAGAGCCGGATGGATCCGGATGGATTCCTGAGGGCTCTGGGGGATTTTCCGGTTGATAAAGCTGGTGCTCCTGTTGATGCTCTGGTTGAACTGTGGAATGGGGAAATGGCCAGAGCAATTGACACGATTGCCCCTAAGCATCCTCTCCTGCCAAGCAGAGCCCCTCCATCCCCATGGTATACATCTGAATTACGGGCGATGAAGCGGTTGGGAGATGGCTAGAGCGTAGGCAGAGGAGATCACAGGATGAATCGGACCGAACATGCTTATGTGCTCATTATCGGGCCTATGCTGTGGCGGTGAGGGTGGTGAAGAAGAAATTCTTCTCCACTTCCATTGCCTCCTCACAGTGCCATCCAGTGGAGCTTTTTCGAGTGGTACATGGGCTGATATACCCCGGCCCTAAGAAAGATCCTGTACCACCATCGATGGCCCGCTGTGACGACTTTGCCCAGCACTTCAAGGAGAAAATTGCTCAGATTCGTCATGAGCTGGACTCCACAATTGATTCAGATCCCTTAGGGGAGACGCCAGTGACTCCGTCTGGTCAGGTATTAATGGATGGATTTCAGTTAATGCGGCCCGATGATGTAGACAAGGTGCTTGAACAAGTATGTCCTACCACCTGCTTACTCGACCCTTGCCCTTTGTGGCTGCTGACCAAAGCCAAACACGGGATTGATGCCTGGATCCTGGAGGTTATTAACGCCTCTCTGAGGGACGGCCGGGTGCCCGCTCCTTTAAAGGAGATGGTAATCAGGCCTGTCCTAAAGAAGGAGTCTCTGGATCCAGAGATGGCCGCCAATTATAGACTGGTGGCCAACATCCCGTTTTTGGGCAAGGTGTTGGAACGGGTGGTGGCGGGACAACTCCAAGCACTCTTGGATGAAACTGATTATCTAGGCCCATTTCAGTCTGGCTTCAGACCCGGGTATGGTACTGAATCTGCCTCGGTCACCCTGTATGATGGCCTGTGCAGGGAGAGAGACACGGGGAGTGCGTCCCTGTTGGTCCTCCTGGACGTCTCAGCGGCTTTCGATACCATCGACCATGGTATCCTCCTGGATAGGCTGGCGGGACTGGGAGTAGGAGGCAGTGCTTGGCAGTGGATCCACTCCTACCTTGATGGCCGATTCCAGAAGATGGTGCCGGGGGACTTTGGCTCTGTGCCATGGCAACTTTGCCATGGAGTGCCGCAGGGGTCCATTTTGTCCCCCTTGCTATTTAATATCTACATGAAACCACTGGGAGAGGTCATCAGGAGGTTTGGGCTGTGGAGTCATCAGTACGCTGATGACACCCAGCTCTACCTCTCTTTTTCAACTAACCCAGGTGAGGCAGTGGCTGTACTGAACCGGTGCCTGGCTGAGGTAATGGGCTGGATGAGGGCCAATAAACTGACACTCAATCCAGATAAGATGGAGGTTCTGATGGTGGGTGATTCAAGCTCCTGGGTAGGTGACTTGGGCCTTGCCCTGGACGGGGTTGCACTCCCTCTGAAGGACAGGGTCCGCAGCTTGGGAGTGCTCCTCGGCCCGGAGCTGTCCTTGGAAGCTCAGGTGACAGCGGTGGTGAGGAGCGCTTTCCTTCAGCTTCGGCTAATCCATCAGCTGCATCCCTACCTGGAGGACGACTGCCTAGCGACAGTGACACATGCATTGGTTACTTCCCGGTTGGATTTCTGCAAAGCGCTCTACGTGGGGCTGCCCTTGAAGACAGTCCGGATACTTCAGATGGTGCAAAACAGAGCAGCCAGGTTGCTGACGGGGACTGGGTGTTACTCTCACATAACCCCAGTCCTCTATCAGCTCCATTGGCTTCCCATTGAAGTCTGGGCTCAATTCAAGGTGCTAGTTATTACCTACAAAGCCCTAAACGGCTTGGGACCTGGATACCTAAAGGAACGCCTTCTTCCCTATTTGCCCTCCCGCCCCCTGAGATCGGCAGCAGAGGTCCTCCTCCGGGAACCCTCCGTGAGAGACATCAGGAGGCAAAGTACCCGGAGGAGGGCCTTCTCTGCGGTGGCACCCAGTCTATGGAATGCACTCCCTAGAGAGGTCTGCCTGGCACCGTCATTATATGTTTTTCAGCGCCAGGTTAAGACCTTTTTATTTAATCAATATTTTAATAAGTTTTGACATTGAATTTTATTACCGTATTTTAATTGCAGCCAGAGTGGGTCGTTCATTTATGTTACACTGTTATGTATTTTGGAATTTTATTTGTGTAAGCCGTCCTGAGGCTCTCGCAAAGGACGGCATACAAATATCTTAAATTAAAAAAAAACCGGACGGCACGGTGCATGGCAGTCACTGCCTCGTCCCCCAGCAGGGGAACATTCTGCTGGGTCTTCTCCGGGCCGATGCGGCACAAGACGCCTGGTCTCCCACCCGTTGCTGGAGTTCCGGCAGCAGGCAGGAGGGGACGTGGCGTGTGCCGCAGGGACTCACCTGGAGGCGGCCCCACCGAACGTGGCTGGCGTCCCCACAGGGGGTGCTGCTGTTTCAGGCCAGCAGCAGTGCGGGAGGGGCCCCAGCCAGCCCTCCTGGCCGGGCCCAGCGGTGAGTGGGGTGGTGCGACGTGGAGTCCTGCAACGGCAGGGGGTTGGGCTCGATGGCCTTCTTCATGGCCCCTTCCAACGCTGCTATTCCATGAGTAACACCCATCGCTTCGGCCTCCTTGTGGTTCACTCCTGCCCCACTCCCGCAGCAGCAGACCGGAAGGGGGGCCCTCGCACTCCTGGGGTGTCCTCTGAGCACCTTCAGGAAGATCTGAGGGTGAGGAGGCGGCAGGTGGCTGTGCAGGTACGGTGTGTCCAGGCATCTGACAGGCACAACCTGAGTCCCAGGACCAGCAAGGCTGCTGGCATGGCTTTCCCTGCCGTGTGGCTTGCTCTGTCTTTCAAACCCTCCTGCTGCGTGATAACTCTGAGCTGTACACATGCACTTGAGTGTAAATTTACCCAGCCCTAAAGAAAGGAAAAAGCAGCCGTGGGGATGATAAATCAAAGCAGTGGTGGAGGAAGAAGAAGGGACGCTTAATCAATTTCTTGCCTTCTGTTTTTCTGCTCACAATCATTTCCACCAGCTGCTTTTTCTATCTGCCAGAGAAAAGATATAGATGCTCATATTTTGTCCTGCCAGGTGGAAAAGGAATCAGAAGAAAGGGCAATCAAGTGGAGAGATGGTAGGAGGAAAAAGAGAGGAGCATGCTTCCCTTCCCACTCCCAGTCCGCCTTCTACAGCCGATTTTCCTGAGCTAATGGGAAAATGTCTGACACAGCTGCATATGAACAAGCCCAGTGCGCCATTCGATCCTTCAACCACAGCAAACGGACATAGTTTTGTCCAATAAGCTCATGGAGGCTCATATGCGGCCCCCGTACGCTCTACGTGGGTCTAGAAATTCTGTTCCAAGTTCATCCATTCTGCCACTGGAATAAACTGTAAATTAAACATACCTTTACTTTATGTTTTGTTAAATTTGTTCAGGTTTTGCTAGTCATGGGGCAAAGGAGAGTGTGGACAGCACGAAAGTTGGACTTCCAATCCCTGGAAAATGTCTTTAGCCATTCTTCTGGTTCCTGAAACTTTAGGTTGCTTTCTTTGCATATGACCAAGGGAATAAACCATAAAGGCTGGAAATACAATTTTCTCCTAGTTTTAAAAACAAAGCAGAGATTTGGGATAAATTGAATTTAGTGCCCATTAATGCATTCTGTGTTTGCACCGTGCGACCCACAGTTTTGTGGCGTAAGCACACTCCTTCCTTCTCCATTGTCAGTTACTCAGCCAGGAAACTGCTCCCGAGAGCTGAGTATTTGGTTTCTCATTGGCTCAAGGAGACAGTGCTTTGGATGGTATTTTTTAAGCTCCACTTGGATATGGCATGAGAGGGGCATAGCAGGAGACATGGAGATTCCTGTGTTCTGCTGAATCCTGAGAAGAATCTTAGTATTCTGTGACCTTCCAAAGTGGGTTGAGAAATTGCTAGATCACTTCTGCTTTTACAGCTGTTGGAAAGCCGGTCAGTGAGGCAGATACTCTGCTTCCCAAGCAATTAGATGGACACTGATCTGTTAACCTCATTAGCAAAACCCAGTTTTCATTTTCATCCAAAAAGCCCAGTTTTGACTGACTATGAGCCAGTAAGGCGTATGCTGGAAAGGTCAAGCACTGAAACGTTCGAGATTCCTGTGAGCCCTGACAGCCGACAACTCATTCCCTTCCCGCTTTCCTTCTTGCTCCAGGAAGGACCTTCCCGACCCATCCCTACTTTTCGGCACAGCTGGGAGCCGGGCAGCTGTCGCTCTTCAACCTTTTGAAGGCGTATTCCTTGCTGGACAAGGAGGTGGGGTACTGCCAGGGGATCAGCTTTGTGGCCGGCGTGCTGCTTCTCCACATGAGCGAAGAGCAAGCCTTCGAAATGCTCAAGTTCCTCATGTATGACCTCGGCTTCCGGAAGCAGTACAGGCCCGACATGATGTCGCTGCAGGTAAGGAGGAGGAGGAGAGGTTCCAGCTTGAGGTCTGCAGTGTTGCATGAGGTTGCCTAAGGCACTGATAGTTGGAGGCCTGTGCCCTGCCTCTCTCTCAGTCCTGAGCACTGCCTTGCCCTGCCCGTTCACTGTAGCTCTTTTCGTGGTCCCTGGAAGCTCACAGAACCGTCTTCACAGCTCTCACCTGCGCTGGAGGAGGGGGCAGAGCAGGGAGCGCTGAGCATGTGCCGGCCAGGTGGTGCCACGTGGTGCAGGCGGGCCAGCAGCATCTCGGGCATCGGGCACACACACATTTGCTCTATTTGAGGGGGGGAAAAGTGCGTCTTACAGAGCGAAAAATACAGTAGTTTTAACCTGTTCATAACAGGCATATTGGGGAAATAGCAAGACTGCCCCCTTCCCAGCTTTAAACTCTGATAGACCAGACAGCATGTGATTGTTTCTTTGGATATTCAGACAAAATTAACTGAAAAATTATTTCTGATACGTTACATAATTTTGGTTTTCCTGACAAATTTTTGAAATGGGTTACATTTTTCTGTTCAAGCCATAGAGCTAAAGTTATAACTTAAAGTCTTTTTCCATCTTTCTTTTTTCTTGGGAGCGGTAACAGGCAAGGATGTCCACTCTCTCCATTGATAGTTGATTTACATTTGGAATCTCTCAGACATTAGACTAGTAGAATTCAAAGCCTTTTGTGTGATAGTTTAGAACTTTAAAAAGTTCATTATGCTGAAAATTTCTTACTACCTTACTACCTATCTCACAACTTACTACCTATCTCCCAGTGTTACATTACCAAGTGCCTTGCTATTCAGCCTGGACCTATAGCTGTGTCCTTCATGCAGTTGCATTTTATAACTGCGTCTTCCAGCTTCGCTGGAAGAAAAGAACGGGAGGAGCTTTGGAAGCTGATGGGCATGGCAGTGACACACCGGACTTTCCTACACGAGGCATTTGCCTTGCATTGGCTGTTTCCAACTCGTCGTTGCTTTTGGGTTCTTTCGATGACAGCATGACCTTCCAGATTTGCTTCTGTGCCTAACCAGCACTTTTAGCGACATTTTTATGGAGCAGGGAAACTGCAGCAATGATTTGTAACAGGGAAAGAGAGCAGAGTCTCTCTGCCTGTCTGTGCTATTCTGCTGTAACCACAGTGCCTCCTGGGGATCACATAGTGGAATAACAAGGAAAGAAATGCTCCTTGTTGAATGTCAGTTCTGGGATGAAACTAAAAATTGATACAGCAGATAAACTACTTTTCTTGTGTAGAAAAGTTTGGTGAGAGGCTGACCACAGCAATACTTAGGAATGTAATTGCTGAGAACATAGAGAATAAAATCTTCCCAAGAAGCTGAGGAGGTCAAACCACATTTTTGCTATAAGGACTACACAAATCATAAGGATCCATGTCAGTTTATTAACATGTCAGAAAGGTACTGAAGACTAGGGTCCAGATCATTCACACTAGTGCATGTCTGATCAGCTGTGCCTGGGTGTGAAAGCTGGACAGTGCAGAAAGCCAAGAGGGAGAAAATGCACGTGTTTAAAACATGGTGCTGGAGGAGGACTTTGTGAACACCCTGAAATGACAGGAAAACAGACAGGATAAAAGCAAGCCAGGCCTTCCCCTGGAAACAAAAGCGATGAAACAGGGGCGCTTGTACATTGCAAGAAGGCAAGACTCCCTGGAGAAGAGTCATGCTAGAGAAAACCAAAGGGAGAAGGAGAGTCAGAAGAGATCCAACTATGAGATGGATCAGTTCCATGAAGAAAGCCACAGCCTTGAGCTGACAAGAGCTGAGCAGTGCTGTGATGGAGGACATAGAAACATAGACACGGAGCGAGTCAGAAGGGGTCTCCTGGGCCATCTAGTCTGACCTCCAGCTCCAGCCGGCTCCGTTCACGACATGCCCACCATTCATTCACAGGGTCACCATTTAGTCTGAAATGCCTGGACCGCATGTTGACAGCAGCAGCTGCATGAACAGAGGGCAGTTCTTTGTCACGTGGGTCCCGATGGAAATTGTTCTCCTTTCCTATGCTAATATCAGCCCCAGAAGAGAAAAAGGCCCCCATTAGCCTTTAGCAACAAATGGAGCTTGACCTTCAGCAGGCGGTGCCCCAAAATGTGTGGTCCAGAATAGAGGTGGGGCAGAAAAAAGGCATAAAATACAGATGTGCAAATTAGGGAGGGCAGAGGAGAGGCTGGACACTTGAGGTTGCTGAGAGGGGAAAAGGGGCTTTGTCCAACCTCTGGGACAAGACCCCTTAACCCAGAAGGGCGACAGTGCTTCCGAATTCATCCGTCTTTGGCCTGCAGAATGGCAATTGCACACAATTAGCCATCTGGATCCCAGGAAGCTGCCAGTTCAGTAAATGAGCATGCATGGAATTGGACTGCTGGCCTGACAAGCCATTTCCAGACCCAGGAACAGCCTCTTTCCTAAGTGTAAACTCCCATTAACACTGTAATAGGACGCGGCAGCTAATCAATATCTCCCTGCTCTCATTGCTTCTCAGAGGAGATTGCGATTCTGTGCTTGGAATGGCAAATCGGTGCAAGGAATGCAACGCTCTGCAGCAAAAGTCCATTTCCAAGCTCTGCTGATGAACAGGGGCCTTTTGGCGCATGTCCGTTGAGGGTTTGGAATGTGCAAAGCTGAGGTCACTGGGGCTTCTTGGTTGGAGTGGGCCAGAAGGGAAGCCCAGCCAGCAAAGCTCGTGCCCCGAACAGAAGATTCATGGCTCCAAACAGAAGATTCATGGTTCATAATATGAGAGTCGTGCCTCCTAATAGAAATTCCCCTCTCTTCCTCCCCGTGGCTAATAACCATGAATAACCATGGCTGCCTTTTGTGTGTGGGTGTCCTGTCAAGTTTTATGAGGTGAATTTTATATCCCGAACTGGAACATTTCTAGGCTGTTCCAGGAATCCAGGTGTTTTGGCTCGGTTTGTCCTGAATGTCAGATTCCTAGTTACATGCAGGCTGCTCTGGGTGCCCTTGGGGCTTTCTATCTTTGGAGCAAGACAGAAAGGAGGAGGTCGTACAGGAGAAGTTGAATCTTATCCCCTGGCCCTTCTTAAAGGAAAGCTGAGGCGAGGCACGGAGAGTACAACTCTGCTGGTTCCCCTGGACTTCTCTGCGGCTTTTGGCCCCACCGGCTGAGGCGTCCTTTGAGGAAGGCTGTCTGAGTTGTGTGTAGGAGGCCCCACACTGCTCCTTTGACAGTTGATTCCAGAAGGCACTGCTGGGGGATCACGACCCTGTGCTTTAGAGGTTACGCTGCGAAGTTCAGCAGGGCTCAGTTTTATCCCCTGTGCTGTCTAACACCTGTGTGCAACTGCTGGGGAAGGTGATCCCCGGATGCATGCTGAGGTGTCATCGATATGCAGGCGATGCCCAGCTCTGTCTCTTCCTCTTCGTCCGCTGCAAAAGAGGCAGTGGTTGACCCGAATCAGTGCCTGGCGCTGGGATTGGACTGGGGGAGATCCAGAACTGGTTTTCCCTAGGCGTCAGGCCAGATGAGGCAAAGGAAGTGTCAGTGGATGCTTTGCTTGGCTGGATGAGTGTCCTTCAGGCTGTTCTGTAGGGGCTGCGCTCTCCCCAAAGGATCAGGTTCATAGTCTGGGGTGCAGCACAGTCACTAGTGGCGCAAAGCGCCTTCTGTTGGTCCATGCGGATGCGCCAACTGGGTCCTTATCTAGACAGGGGTAGCCGAGCTACAGCAGTGCATGCTCTCAGCTGGATTACTGCAGCGCATCGTTAACGCAGCTGCCTTCACAATGGTCTGGAAACATCGCCGGGTCCAAAAGAGGGCAGTGGGATTGCTAACAAGGACTGGCCAATGGGATTGTACGAGGCCAGGGCTTTCCCATCTGCACATGGCTGCCAGTCCATCTCCGGGCCCGATTCAGAGTGCTGGAATCAACATGCAGAGCCCTTGCTTACTGGCCTGGGCCCACTTTACCTGAAGGAACATTTCTTTCCATTTTCATGCCCTTAGATGATTCTCAGCCAGTCCCTCTGCAGGAATTCCTTTCAAGGAAGTGAGGAGGGTTGCTACTATGAAGAGGAGAAAAGCCATCCTTTCCCGTACTTGTATCCCAATTCTGGGATGCACTTCTCAGAAATGCTCACCTGTCACGAACGTCACACTCTTTCAGTGCCAGGTGTGGATTTATTTTCTTAGGAATCTCCCCCAGAATATTCATCTTCTAGACTCTGTTATTTTAAATCCCTTACTGTATTTTAATCTTTGGAATTGTAGCTAAGTTTTATTTTGGGTTTTACTCCTGTTCTGTTCTGTAGTCTTAAACTTCTAATTTTTGTAGCATATTTTATTTTATATTTTACATTTGGAAATTGTTGAAAACCACCCAGAAAGTTCTTGCTATTGCATGATAAAGAAATGCAAGGAATATATACCATGTGCCACTGTAATATTTACAATTACTGATGTGCCAGATTTCAGACAGCTAATTATTGCAAAACTTTATGTGGCAATTTCAACATGCTGTAGCTGTTAATGAGCCTAACAGCCTCACATAAATCAAGATCCAAACTATATGCAAATTTTGTTGTTGTTGTTAGTCGCGAAGTCGTGTCTGACCCATCGTGACCCCATGGACAACATTCCTCCAGGCCTTCCTGTCCTCCATCCCCCAAAGTCCACCTAAACTCACACCAACTGCTTCAGTGACTCCATCCAGCCACTGCATCCTCTGCCGTCCCCTTCTTTTTTGCCATCTATTGTTCCCAGCATTCGGCTCTTCTCCAGTGAGTCCTTCCTTCTCATTAGGTGGCCAAAGTATTTGAGTTTCATCTTCAGTATCTGGCCTTCTAAAGAGCAGTCAGGGTTGATCTCCTCTAGGACTAACTGGTTTGATCGCCTTGCAGTCCAAGGGACTTGCAGGAGTCTTCGCCAGCACCACAGTTCAAAAGGCCTCAGTTCTTCGGCACTCAGCCTTCCTTATGATCCAACTTTCACAGCCATACATTGCAACTGGGGAAACCATAGCCTTGACAATACGCACTCTTGTTGGCAGGGTGATGTCTCTGCTTTTTAGTATGCAGTCTAGATTTGCCATAGCTTTCCTCCCTAGGAGCAAGTGTCTTTTAATTTCTTGGCTGCAGTCCCCATCTGTGATGATCTTGGAGCCCAGGAAAATAAAATCTATCACTCCCTCCATTTCTTCCCTATCTATTTGCCAGGAAGTGAGAGGACCGGATGCCATGATCTTAGTTTTCTTAATGTTGAGTTTCAAGCCAACTTTTGCAGTCTCCTCCTTCACCCACATCAAGAGGCTCTTTAGTTCCTCTTCACTTTCTGCCATGAGAGTGGTATCATCTGCATATCTGAGGTTGTTGATATTTTCCCCAGCAATCTTAATTCCAACTGGTGATTCATCTAGCCCCGCCTTTCTCATGATGTGCTCTGCATATAAGTTAAATAGGCAGGGTGACAGTATACAGCCTTGCCAAACTCCTTTCTCAATTTTGAACCAATCAGTGGTTCCGTGCCCAGTTCTCT